TTTTTTTGGGGAGGGGGGGTTACGCTTGTGAAGTCGCTTTGCTATATTTTTTATTTTTTATTTTTTATTTTTTTTTGGTTCTTTTTCCCCTTGTTTTTCTGGATGGGCCAAAGAACGAGCCACGTTCGAAGATGCTTGGCAGCACTAGAGAAAGTTCACATCGGGACTCGGCCGAGCCTCGGCAATGGGGCCCATAGGCTCGCGCATGTTAACCCCCCACATACTTTGGGAAAATTCTCCCCCAAAATATCATAAATTTATTGCACTTTTTATTAATTCAATTCTAAACCTTTCAATTTTGACAATCGAGTCCTAAGTTTTTTTTTCACTTTTTACCGATTGAATCCATCTGGCCAATTTTGACCGAAAATCATCGATGTTGACACCGGCACCGCCACGTAGGACGGCCGGCACTTCGAAAACGTGAGAAAAAATCGAAAAAGACGCATGTTTTCCTCCGTCTCTCATCGGTTTTTCAATCGTATATTTGACATGTGCTCGGATTAATTCAATACTCAGCACGATTTTTTTTATATTCTTCGGCCATTTTACCTACCTAGTAATTTGGCAAATATATTAGACAGCTTTTGAGTTTACGAGCAAACAGAAGAACAGAGAGTACTACCCGAAACGATTGTTGCTTTTGAGGTCTATCGTCTTGCGCGAACCATATGCTCAATTGTTCGGACTTTTACCTGATCGCTGCAATTGCACCAGAGAATATCTAACCATATTGACTCTTAGGTCAAGACTTTCTTAGTGAAAGGCATATTCAAGATAAATTTTTTGATTGTTCGAGATGTGCAACATCGATGACGAAACTAGAAAAAGGGAAAAATTATGGGCCGTGCTAAAACTGGACATGCGAAAAGCTTATATCAAGCTGAATAGGATTTCCTCAAAGCTAGGATGTTGAAGATGGGACTAAGTGTAAAATGGATTGCTTGGATAATGCAATATGTAATAAAAGATCATTTAGCGTTACATTTAAGGGGGAGGCTCCCCTATCCCTCTGTTATGCACGGTTCGGTTCATTTCTGCCCCCCTCACCATCCTAAAAGCCTGCCAGGAGCCACTCCTTATCTAGCCCCAGCGACCACACCCCACTCTCATCGGACCGGGTCATTACAGGGCCACCAGGCTCTGTGTGGTTCGTCCTCGAACTACATATCTACTGAAGGAGGTCCTGCTCTAATATCATACTATGACGTCGTGGATTTAACTCACTTGAGGTATTGTCTGCTTTTGCCCGTCCCATATCGAGCCTCACAGTTTTGCCCTTTGACGTACAAGTTGGCACCTTCCTAGTAAGTCAACCATCCTGATAGTACTCCCACTCGAGTACGCTTAACTTTGGAGTTTCAAAACTAAGCATTGTCGTTACATCAAAACGTGCCTCCTTTAATTAATTTCAATTTTCACATATATATATATCTCATAATCGCTCTCCTCTATTTGGTACACTGTATGGTTCATTCATGCCATTTTCACCATCCTAGAAGTCTGCATCTCTCTCTCTCTCTCTAAACTTGGCGACAACATCAAGCTTGTTGTTGATGGCGAAGTTGGACTAGCGTCGAGCTCCACCTTGCCCCCTGAAGGCATCGCCTCCAGATGTGCACCTCTAGTGATAGAGTCTATGCGGACAGTGATAGAGATAGAGAGAGGCGGGCAACGGGGGCCTGGGATATAGCCGGCCATCGTGAGCCGTGACGAATGGAGTGATGACCGGGACAGAAACTGGTGTGGCGGCTAAAGCTAGGCCGAGTGGCTGGATTATGATTTTTTCCGGTGGGGAGGGGGCTTTTGGCTGTGTGGGAAATTTTTGAAATACGAAGGCAATTCAGGAAGAAGAAATGGCGACTAAAAATATATGGAAGTAATATTTTTCGTTCGTTTGTTCATTCATTATGTGTTAATGATACAAACGATACGAGAATATTTTCTAAATCATTCGATCTTAACGAAATAGACGCACCTTAAATAACGCCGCTAATGTAAGATGTAATTTGGCGTCTAAGATGGAAAACTCAGGATCTAAAGTGGTAATTCGTAAATTAAAGGACAGATGGTTCTGCGGGGTTGAGAAGTGAGGAGGGTTCCGAATATAAACCGTGGGAAACCGAAAACCGAATTTGCGTGAGAGAGACAGAGAGTCGCCCTCGAGCCGCAACCGAACGCGGCCGCCGGCGTGGGCGACTGGGGGCGTCGCTGCAAATCAAATGCAGACCGCACAATTGCACGCGGACGGAGAAAAGGCTAAGAAGAGCATGTGAAAGGGAGGAGGAACGACGACATGTTCACAGATGCGAACTCCGTAACTCTTTTGTCTGCATGCACCACCGCTGGTCCCATTACTGACCTCCTCGACCTTCGAACTTGTCAACTCCCAACTCCCCATTAAAAGACAGAGATAGACAGATAGAGAGAGACAGAGAGTAAAAGCCTTTACGTGGACGACATTATTCTCCGGGGACCCACTCCCACCCACATCATGGAAGCAAGCAACGGCGCCTCTCTTGCCGTGCTGCCACGTGGCACTACGTGGTTAAGTTTTGGGTTAATAGCACCTAAAATTCCAAACTGATATAGCCGTGATAAATTTATATTAAATTAATTTTTTTACTATAAAAAACTCTCAAACTAATACACCCGCGATAAATTAACCCTCCGTTGGTTTTCGTTAAATTTTATCAAGTTGCAGAGTTGGATCACACGTGGTAGTTGATGGATATACCGGTTTGGGATTTAATCTTCCATTTATCATAGATGTACCATTTTGTGATTTTTCGTAGTAGTATTTCAATTTAACGGAAACTGACGGAGGGAAATTTATTTCAAATGTACCAATTTGAGATTTTTGGTGGTCACAAAATTAATTTTGGGTAAATTTGTCACTGGTGTACCGGTTTAAGGTTTTTCGTGGTATTAATTCTTAAGTTTTGGGTAAAAGCCCTTCAAGCAATTGATCAAAACTCACCTTGCGATTGATTAACAGGATAATTACACAAACGGTACATAAATTTTACAAGTAAATTATTTAGTTTTGGGACTAAATTGAATATGTACAAAAAATTGAAGGACCACTTTGAATATATTAAAAATTAAGAGACGACATTGCATATTAAACTAAGGTTCAAGGATGGCATTAGACATCGAGTCAAAATTTATGAATTATTTGTGTTATTTTCCGGATATCGAGCATCTAACAGAGGGAGGGAAGCGACCAATTGTTCACCCCCACGATGATAAGTAACGAAAATTGACCCGCCGAACTTTCTTCTTCGAATAATTACTTCATATACTTCGTCCCTCTCGCAACGTAGCTGAGCTCTGTGGATCCATTCCCATGGAGTGCGGTCACTGGAAATTTAGGTTTTCAGCCGGAAGATAAGAGGCCTGTTTGGTTCAACTTTGAAAATGCTACTTGGGGGAATGCAAATACCTTTGGGTGAAAGCCCATTGGGGAAATGAAAATGGTGTTTGGTAAAAATATTTTGTAAAGCTACTTTGGCCAAAATATAGTGTTTGGTGAATTTTTTTTGTAAATGAACTTTGAGAATTATCTTATTTATTAAAAAAAAAAACTAACCTACCCATCGCCGGAGCCGGCCGCCGGCGAGATAGATCTGGCGCCGACGGCCGTCGCCCGAGGTCGGGCGACCCTCGGCGAGCCAGATCTGCCGCCGCCGGCGATCGTCCGAGGCCAAGCGACCCTCGGCGGGGGTCGCATGACCCAGGTGACGGCCGCCTGAGGTTGCGCGACCCAGGCCGGCGGCGCCTGGGCGGTCGCGTGACCTCCTGCGGCCGTTGCCTGGGTCGTGCGACCTCGTCCGCCTCTCGCCGGCGCGATCCAGGCGCCGATCGCCCTCCCTCGCCGAAGAAGATGAATAGTGACGCATAAACAGTAGCATTTGGCAAAGGCTGAAAGCCCAAGGCTGGTCCGGACCAGCTTTGGACTTTTAGCATTTGAAATGCTAGCATTGGCCAAATGCTAGGTCAAATGCTGAACCAAACACTTCAGCATTTTGGAAAGGGGCTTTCGAGGTTCAAAACTCCTTTCCAAAGCTGAACTAAACACCGAAGATTCTCCACGGCTCGAAGCATTCACACGCGGAAGGAAAATGACAGCATTCCGGATGAAAAAACAACATTGGGAAATGGAACGGCTCGCTTTCTCAGTCTCATCGGCAATGAGCGCACGTAATAACCCGAAATGGCCAGGGAGGGGAAATGTTCTTTTTCTGTTTTTTTTAGGATACTCCTGGAGACAATACAGACAAATCTCCACATGATTTGATCCGACGACCCTTGGATGCGATCCCTCTTACACATGACACGACGCGATGCGCTTCAACTTTTAATGAAAGTACAGTGCTTCGACGCGAATCGCCCGTCCTTGTAAATTGTCCGCGCTACGCAAATAATACCGTGTTCATCAAAAGACAGTGGCCAAAACGAATAGGCATCATTACAAAGAAAAAAAAAGAAGAGAAAGAATAGTAGCACAAATGGTCCTTAAACTTTGATTCAATGTACAATATCGTCCATGAATTTTTAATCAGTGCAATGTGATCCATGAACTTTGGTTGAATGTGCAACGTTATCTCTAAGTTTTTAATTTGTTCAATATGGTTCTTAAATTATTGGTAATTGGTTAATGTAAACCCTGAATTTTTAAAAGTCCAGTGACCATATTGAACAAATTAAAAGTATTGGATATTGGGCCAAAGTTCAAGGATCACACTGTACAAATAAAAAATTTAAGGACGATATTACATATTGGATTAAAGTTCATAAATTATTTGTGTTATTTTTTCGAGCCGGAAAGACCAGAACGGACATTTACACGAGGTCGCTGGCTCGTGCACCAGCCGGAGGTGGTGGTGGTTGAGTCCATTTATTATTTTTCGGCTCATAATAAAAAAAACAATATGGAATTTTAATTCTGCCTTTCCCATTTCATTTACCACCCGACGCTTAATAGCCCCATTCCTGCACCGGCCCACCTGCACCTCTCCACTTCCTCTTCACAGACTCTCTCTCTCTCTCTCCCCGACGCTCTCCAGACACCCTCTTCTTCCTTCCACCGCCGGAATGGCCAAAACGCACGCCGCCGCCGCCGCCGCCGCCGTCCTGGCGGCCGTCCTCCTCCTGGCGACGGTGTGCGGCGCGTCGGCGCAGATGCCGGCGGCGGCTCCCGGGCCGGCGGCGGCTCTCGGGCCGGCGGCGGACGAGTGCCTCAACAACCTGGCGAACCTGACGGAGTGCCTGTCCTACGTGGAGGAAGGGAGCAAGCTGACGGCGCCGGAGAAGCCGTGCTGCGGGGAGCTGGCCAGCCTGGTGGACAACTACCCCATCTGCCTGTGCGAGCTGCTCAGCAAGGCCGACAGCTACGGCATCAAGATCGACGTCAACCGGGCGCTCAAGCTCCCCTCCATCTGCCATGTGACCACCCCGCCGGTCAGCACGTGCGCAGGTGCGTCGCCCGATCTATCGGCTCCGGCTTTCGTTCTTGTCACGTCCTGTTGCATTTGGAATTTCATGCAGGGTTCGAATCCCCTGTTTTCAAACGCGAGACAGAACAGAACAGAGTGATAAAAAAAGAAAAACTCATCAGACCACAGGCTCCGACATCTCTGAACGAAGAATGCTTCCTTACGATCCTCGCGTTAGTCGAATCTTTCATATCTATCTGGGCTCAAGTCACGTTGAAATCTCTACTCGTGTCACCATCTGAGACTAAGAACTACCTCTAAAAATAGCTGATTTGCGAACAGAACTCCTTTCTTCACCATTAGTATCTTCCTACTTTAATGTTTAGACATATTTGGATTAAGCTAGATACATTTGAAATGATTTTTCTACCGTGATTTTCTCTAATTATTCGTTATTCTATTAAACTTTACCTTCAAAGATATAATATAAAAAATCCCGTAATTTTCTGTTATTTTCCGCGTCATATGCATAACTAGCAAAGAGAGAAAATATTAAATATATTCTAGAAAAATAGAGTTTTGGAGACTTTCTCCATTCTAGGAGATGAATTTCATTTATCTGTAAAAAAGAATAGAAAGAGTTAACTTATATACCCACGTATTATGATGACACATTGACACGATGCTACGAAAGTTGGAAAAGTTGTAATTTAAATAGTCAAAGACAATATAGTCATTAAAGTAAACTCACGCATACCCACCTTTTTCTGAATTGAATTTAATAAATCTCCACATCCGATAATTATTTTGGGAAATTTTTTTTTTTGGGCCGATAATTATGGAAATTATTTTTTTTGCGCCCAAGTTGCATTTACCCCTTCTTACTTCCCACCGAACGCGAGAGCCCCGCGAAAGCGAGGCTGCCGTACTCCCCACTTCGCGTGACAGCGCGCGACGCTGCACTGCATTTATTTCCTCCACCGGCCATCGTCGTCCCCATCCAAAACCACACGCAATCTATCACGCATCTGTGCGGACACATGTTTCGGCACATTTCGCTCTCTATGCTTATTGCTATAGCTGTTTCGAGAGCAAAAGACAGTTCTGACCGTAGCCAAAAACACTGTTCTCCGAGTATAATTTGACTGCTGATTTGGTCGGACGACGGGCACGATCGCTCTAGACGGCCGGTTGAGATTACGATTCGAATGAGCTTGACATGGTTTTCGGCGTCTCCGTGTTTTGTAGAGGCGGGATATCCGGTCGGGGCTCCGATGGCGAGCGAAGGGCCTTCGGGCACGACACCAGGTACTTGCTCTTCCCTTCTGGGGTTCACATTTTCAAGTGTGAGATTGATCATCGAACACACGCACACACGAATTGACTTCGGCGACAATGGCCAAGATTTAAATGATCTCGGGACTACCGATATCGAAACTTGCCTCTAGTTAGATTTCATGTGATTAGATAGTTAATTAGGCGGTTTATTAGACGACCTTCAAGTTTAATATGCGGGGGCATTGCTGTGATTAGGAAACGACCATTTCTTTTTTCATCACGAAGTTTTCTCTCAAGCCCTTTTTCTTTTCCAATGTTTTAAGTTTTTTCGTCACGCTCTCTTTAATGAAAAATCGAAATGCGCAGGTTCTCTTCCGCCTTCCACCGCCGCCTCTTCTCCGACGCCCGGGAACACGGGCAACCGCGCTTCACGGAGCGCGCTGCTTTTAGTCGCCGGTGTAGGCGCCGCGATCCTCCCGGTGTTCTTCCGATTCTAGTCGGAGGGAGGGTCCTCATTACGATTCTTCTCACGATTTCATAATTAAATCGGACACTTAGAGACATGTATTAACGTTCTATTCACGGCGACTTTGCCAGTAATCATTTCTGTGGTGTGATTTTATTCAAGGCTCGACCGTGACGCCGATGGGGTTGCATCACGCCTGCTGGTGCCTCCCTATTATTCGAGGGAGAGCGCCCGAAAAGCCTCGTTTGGCCCTACATCGCTTACAAAAACTAAATGAATAATAAATATTTTCGTCACGTACGAGTATGTATACGGATAAATTGTATCTGCAAGTGAAAATATTTTCTTTCGACTAATTTTTTTTATGAAGATACGAATAAAAAAAGTTTCTAAAAATATTTTTTCCTGTGGAGATATGAACGTCGGATCTTTTCAAGCACTCAAAGATTAGTTTCGTGTTCTCTCTGCGAATCGCAATCAGAAAGGGAAGTCCGACAAGGACAACGTTGCGAAGACCGCCTCGCTCAGACAGAAAACATAAACAAAACCAGCAACCAAAACCGCAACGCAGCGTTAACTTGTCTTTTACTCTTTAAACTAATCAAAATCGTTACCTAACCCCCATGTCCATTTGCAATTTTGCCCTCGCCCATCTTCCCTTAATCAGTCCTTACTCACTCCCTAATCTAAACCCTAGAGAAAACCCAACCACCCCATCAATGGCTTCCCAATCTCTCCACCACCACCCCCACTTCACCTCCCTCCGCCTCCGACAGCCGCGCAAAGCCCCGGCGAGCCCTTCCCCGCGCGCCCTCGCCGTCGCCGCCGCCTCCAGAAACCCGCCCCTCCCCGGCCGCAAGCTCCGGGCCGCCGTCATCGGCGGCGGGCCCGGCGGGTCCTCCGCCGCCGAGTCCCTCGCCTCCGGCGGCGTCGAGACCTTCCTCTTCGAGCGCAGCCCCTCCGGCGCCAAGCCCTGCGGCGGCGCCATCCCGCTCTGCATGCTCGACGAGTTCGACCTCCCGTCCAGCCTCGTGGACCGCCGCGTGACCGAGATGAGGATTATCTCGCCGTCGAATCTCACCGTCGACTTCGGCAAGACCCTGAGGCCGCACGAGTACATCGCCATGCTCCGCCGCGAGGTCCTCGACTCCTTCCTCCGCTCGCGCGCGGAGTCCCGCGGCGCGGAGCTCATCACCGGCCTGGTGACGGATCTGGAGCTGCCGTGCTCCTCCGCCTCGCCGTACGTCGTCCACTACACGAGCGGCGGCTCGAAGCGGAGCCTGGCCGTCGACGTCGTGGTCGGGGCCGACGGCGCCAACAGCCGCGTCGCGAAGTGCATCGGCGCCGGAGACTACTCGTACGCCATCGCGTTCCAGGAGAGGATCAGGCTCCCGGACGAGAAAATGAAGTACTACGAGAACCTGGCCGAGATGTACTTTGGAGACGACGTGTCGCCGGACTTCTACGCGTGGGTCTTCCCGAAGTGCGACCACGTGGCGGTCGGGACCGGCACGGTCCGGTCCAAGCGCGAGATCAAGGCCTACCAGAGGGGGATCAGGGAGCGAGTGAGGCCGAAGATCGAGGGCGGGGAGGTCATCAAGGTGGAGGCCCACCCCATCCCGGAGCACCCGCGGCCGGTCCGGGTCAGGGGACGGGTGGCCCTCGTCGGCGACGCGGCGGGCTACGTGACGAAGTGCTCCGGCGAGGGGATCTACTTCGCGGCGAAGTCGGGGAGGATGTGTGGGGAAGGCATCGTGAGGGCATCGGAAGGAGGGGAGAAGATGGTGGACGAGGAGGACCTGAGGAGAGAGTACCTGAGGGAGTGGGACGACAGGTACGTGACGACGTATCGGGTGCTGGATCTGCTGGAGAAGGTGTTCTACGGGAGCAACTGGGGGAGGGAGGCGATGGTGGAGCTGTGCGGCGGCGAGTACGTGCAGAGGGTGTCGCTGGAGAGCTACATGTACAAGAGGCTGGTGGAGGGCGACCGGTGGGAGGAGGTGAAGATGGCGGCGAACACGGTGGCGACCTTGGTCAGGTGCAAGATCATGGGCCGCGAAGCGGGGCGTCTGAAGGCGATCGCGTAGTTGGATTCGCATCCACCAATTTGATTGTCAAGGTCATAGCTTGGAAGAAGAAGAAGAAGATGATGACGATGGTGTTGTATATTTTCTTTCTGTTTTTAGGGGGCGTTTAGTAAGATTTCTATTTTTATGTTATTATGTCCTTTTGTTCTCCGAAACAGAAAAAAAAAAAACAGTAGTTCATTTGTGTAAGTCAATTAATTTTTCTATTCCTCTAAATAGAAAAGTAGTCAGAAAATAGATTTTGGATAGAAACAAGAAATAAAAAAAATCTACTTTTCTGTTTCAAAAATAAAAGGAGAAACAATATCATTTTAGATAAATAATTTCATAAACCATTGAATCTTAAAATTCGAAATCCTAAACCCGAAACCCCAAACTTCTAAACCCAAATCCTAAATCCTAAACTTGAAAACCGAAACCTTAAATCCTAAAACTCTAAACCCCAAAACCCTAAATCCTAAAATCCAAAATCTTAAAACCCAAAACCCTAAAATTCAAACCCAAAACCCTAAATCTCAAACCAACCCCAAAACCCTATACCCAAACCCTAAAACCTAAACCATAAATGTTAAATCCCAAACCCCAAACTGAAATTTTCTCGACCACCACATGGTATTTGCTTTGTCTATAAGGAGTAATCTTCTTTGTGATTATATTAAGGTCATCTAATTATATATTATAATATATTTTGATTTTATTTCTAGTTTAATTTTATCCAAATATGAATTGTTAAGTCTTCACTGACATTTTTATAATTAAATGAAAAAAATTGGGGATAGAAATTTTTAGGATTGTACCAAGCGCATTTCTGTTTTTTTTCTATTTCGGGAATATAAATTTTGTGCAGTTATCAAACGCATTATTTGGCTCATAAACTCATCTAGAGAATAGAAATAGAACAAAATATTTATGAACAGAAACTGTTTTCGAGAACAGAAATATTACTACAAGCACCCTTATTAGCTCTCGCAACTTTTCTTAATCATTAAGCTAGCTTTCTTTACTGTAAAAAAGCGTTGCACTTTAACGGAAGAATTTGAAAATTAGCTTGGACGATAACCAATGTATTAAAATTACACACGCCGCTAAAAATATGGTTTATTCACTATTTCATCCCTTTGGTTAGCTCTTAATTTGTTTTAGTAGGATCATGCTTAGGAAGGAACTAAAATTAAGACCGAATATACTTTTCTAATTATATATTAGATATTTAGGGAGGTAATAAATGTGAGATTAATTGTGCTTTTCGAATTGCGTGTTAGAAAAGATGCAAATGTGCGCGTCTTATCCAGAAAAAAGGAAATGGGCATTCCGGCGGGGATGCTCATCCCATCATGCTTTTGGCAAATGCTTCTAACAACAACAGAAAAAAGAATCTCCATCCAAATCAGAAATCCCATCTAACCTCTATTTCTAATGCCTAGCCATGGCGTTAGGAAATGACATAAATGGTCCATAAATTTTGATTCGATATGTAATTTTGCCCATAAATTTTTAATTTATTCAATATAGTCCATAAACTTTTAAACATCCTCATATAATTTAGGGATCACATTGGACATTTAGCAATAGTTCAGTAATCATATTGAACAAATTAAAAAGTTTAGGGATAATGCTGTACATTCGACCAAAATTCAGAGACCACATTATATAAAGTAAAAGTTCAAAGACGACATTACATATCGAACTGAAATATCATCTGTGCCATTATCCCCTCAGCATCAAAACCTACATTACTGATTTTGAGTGGGCCTGACATATATGTCGAAGAGTCATCCACTCATATTATAAGCCCTCCTGTTTACTGGGCGGGCACGCCAGCCAGGTGAGCCATCCGATCCGCCTAACAGTCGGGCCCGTGGCTTTAGATCCACAACCGCAACACGGCCCACCAGAAACTCTTCGGGCTTTTTTCTCCGCATGGGCTCTCAGGGTCCGGCCCATTTAGCCTCCATATCGCCGGTCCGGCGCCATTGCCGAAGCTCAACTCCACCTCCCTCATCTCTCTCTCTCTCTCTCTCTCTCTCTCCCACCGTCCAACGCCAGATCTTCTTCAACCTCTCAAATCTGCGCAGCGCGAGGCCTCCATTGAAATGTGAAAGATCTCTCTCCACGGAACGCTGCTGGTTTTCCCCATGGACTTGTCCAATCTGCAGTCCAGAGCTTCTCCTTCTTCTTCTTCTTCATCATCATCATTATCTTCGTCTTCCTACATCCTTCCTCACCGCACTCAGCTCCCCCCTCGCATGCACTCCTTCCCTCCCCAGCCTCCCCCCAGGCCCCGCCCCAAGCTCCTGCTCCTCGCCCTCGCCGCCGCCCTCTGCGTCGTCCCCTTCCTCTACTACATCTTCGCCACGGCCCTCGGCCTCCACAACTCCTCCAGGTTCGCCGATCCGAGCACCGGGTTCCGCGGCCTCGTCATCGACGCCGCCCCCTCCGGCTCCCGCATCCGCCTCCTCGAGTTCTTCAACGAGGGGGCGTTCCCGTCCGTCGCGGCCGGCGGCGGCGGCGGCGGATCGGGGGCCGAGTCCGCGCGGGTCCGGCCGGGGCTGGCGGCGTTCGCGGACGACCCGGAGGGCGCGGGACGGTCGATCTCGGAGCTGATCAAGTTTGCCAAGCGGCGGGTGCGGAAGAAGGACAGGGCGAAGACGAAGGTTGTCCTGGCGGTGAGCGGGGGGTTGGAAGGGTTGAGCTCGGGGGTGAGGGGGCGGATAATGGAGTCGTGTAGGCGAGTTCTGAGGAAGTCTGGATTTATGTTTAGAGATGAGTGGGCGCGAGTGATCACAGGTTTGGTGCTTTAGTTTTTTCGATGTTTTGGAACGTTTTGACTGAAATTCGCTGCTGGAAATTGTGAATGTGTGAACTTTTGGTTTCTTGTTACGAAGTTCATTGTTGCTGAAGTTGGGGAACCAAGGAGCAGTAGCGATTCCTATTCTAGCTCTCTTATTTGTTACTGTTAGTATAATGCTAAACTCCGATTAGCTTAAGTGGGACTTGTTTGGAATTGCTTCAAGTTTCTCATTTTATTGTCTGGAATTGCGAATGTCATTAGAGTCGTGGTGATGTTAAGCCAAGCTAATCTTCTCGTGCTTAATTGATTTCTTTTTGCTCTAATTCTCTTCTTCGTGGGGTATTGGTTCGCACAAATGGGGAGGGACTCCCTTTCTGATGAAATACTAGGGAGCTCTTCTACCTAAATTGCTTAACTTAGTTGCTATGCACGTTTGGGTATACTGTGTATGGATGCTTCCGCAATATAACTGATTATCTTGACCTCTTCTCCCAATCCTTTCTGTTATACTTTTTAGTACACACTGTCCAAATCAATGTAGAATGGTGATTTACGTAGTAATCCATCAATTTTTTTTCTTCTGAATAAACAGTTAGTATCGGTGCCTTTTCTATTGGAATTTTAACACTGGTCATGGAAAATGGTGTGGATGTAGGGGAAGATGAAGGGAATTTTGCTTGGGTTGCCGTAAATTATATTCTTGGAACCTTGGGAAGTGAATCTGAAGATACCACCGGGACAGTCGAACTCGGTGGCCGTTCTTTGGAGGTTGTGCCCATTAACTTGTTCTGATTTCATTATCTCTTCGAGTGAAAGTTGGCATTTGCATTCCACTAAGCAAGGTTGGTATATAAAGATGCGCCTTATCGATTCTCGATAGCATCTTTCTGATAAGGACCCTTTTTCTTAGGAAGGTGCTGCTCAATGTCGACCATGGGTAGTTTCTTGTAGGCAACAGCCAAAGTTGTTGAATCCTGTTGTTCACTCTCTTAAAAAACTCCGTTTATGGCTCAGATGGATAAGCAACAAAGAAAAGCTGCCTCTTCTTGACTAAGCTGTGTGCAATGTAATATTAGGATCCTGTACTAACTCACAAACACAACTCAAATTATACTTCAAAAACTCCATATATGCTTTTCAAACTCACTTTTAAGTTTTGATCTTTCAGCATATTTTCCCAATTGATCGAACAAAGATGAGTCAACGAGGCAAGTCCTTTAACCATGGACAAATGAAAACATTTGAATCTCAGTGAAGCAATATTTCCTCTAGAATGGATTTTGTTTTACCTGCATTGCCTGCTGCAATGTGCATTCCAATAGGTTTCCCCCTTTGAAAGGTTATTCGGTGGTTCATTTGAATTGAACTGCCTTTTGAAAATGAGCAACCCATTCTTGCTAGCATGCCCTCTGGAGTTGTTTACATATAACCGAATATAGCCATCCAGGGCTTTGTTCCGCCAATCTAGTGATTATTTGACCTTTGGCATTTATGAGCCATATAATGATTGATCATAATTCTAGCAGAGAGCATGCATACATGTGTTGTCTGCTGGATATCTGAATATGGATGACTTTTGTTTTAAGTAGTTCACTGGTACTTACAGGTTACGTTTGCTCCTAGAGAAGAAATGCAAATGCAAACTTCCCGAGTTCTCAAATTGGGTGGAACTACCTACAATCTCTACACGCTAAGCTTGCAACAATTTGGTCAGGTGTTTCCATGTAACGTCCAATATTTTGCAATTCTTTACATACATTTGCTCTACATATTTGTCCTCATATCTCGATTCCATGTATGCTTCATGCTTTGGGAAGTAATCGATCGGGACTACTCTTCTTCACTGTTCTCATTACTTTTTCTAATTTTAAGCAACCAAAATCATGATTAGGTTATTTGAAGAGTACTGACTGTGGAGATGCATAAATAGGCATTGCTAGCAGTCTGATCCCATTTGATCCAGCTTTTACAATATACATATAAGAGTATGGTTAAACAGGGTGAAGAAAAGATTTAAATGTGAAGTTAGAGATGAGACAGACACTGCGGGAGCAGTGTTGTCATTGAATTATTGATAGTTCATAGTCATGTTTAATCTGAACTCTATTACATAGGAACCTTGAGGCGAACAATTTGCATTGTGACAGTTATGGCAGGATATTGATATGTCGAGGTGAAACCTTTTATGGTTCCAGTCAGTTTTGAAAATTTTGATTTAAAAGGTGATCCTCAGAGCTATGTAACTTTGGTTTTCTGCTTCTTCTTTTGCTGAAGCTTCCTATGATGTGGTTGGAAGTGGACACTAGTGCTCTCTCTCTCTCTCTCTCTCTCTCTCTCTCTCTCTCTCTCTCTCTGTAACCTTTAACTTAATTGGTTACTGCTGTATTGCATTCTTTGATCTCAAGATGCAGTTGAAGTTGCCTGACTGCAAATTCAAATGATTATTTTTACGCAGGATGATGCTTGGCGATCTTATAACGGACTTCACAGTCCTAGGGAGCCGAGAACTGGTGAGTTGATGAAACATATATTTCTCTCGCTGAACACCCGGCTTCATACTGTTTTCAATTAATTTGTAAAATAATATCCATTTGAAGATGGCTATTGTATCTGGTGGTTGGTTGACAAGGATGCGGACTGGGATGAGATAATATCCATTTTAAGATGGCTATTGTATCTGGTGGTTGGTTAACGAGGATGCGGACTGGGATGAGATATTTCCCAATTTCCCATTAAATTTTCTTGTTTACCGGAAAGATGACTGCTCATCAAAACAAATGCCACTGCCTTATTTAAATTGCTCAATTTTTCTTGCATTAGTGTACATCTTACAATTATTTTCTGTATTCCCAATTTAAAGAATAATTCTTAATAATATGTAACCGGTATGTTCTTGGCTTTCTGCGATGAGGATGGTCATCTAGGTATGTATATTCTTGGGATGCCAATGCTTCTGTGTGACCTTCGATTCTCACCGACTTAATAATGTAATTATTTACTTTGCTGTTGCTTGATGTGTGTTAGTGAAAACTAAGACGTTTTAATTGCCGTGCAGCTTCAAGTTCAAACGATGAACATGTCATGACCCCGTGCTTTCCCAGAGGATATGGGCTGACATCAAAAGTGAGAGATGCAAAGTCTCGGACATCATATCCTGCTGGAAACTATTCGGCCTGCAAAAATGATGCCTTGGCACTTTTGAGAACAAGAAAAGGTGCCCTGCCCTCTTATCTCCAAACATAAAGTCTAAAAATTTGTGTTTTGTAACTTCTCTAGAAGAATGTTGTTGTCGTAAAATTATTTAATTATACTATTTGAGATGTCTCAAATGAAATGATAGAACCATCAACTGTATAAGTTATCCATATTCCATTGACTTGTTTTATTTGTGCTAGTATATTTTTCTTCCTGCAAATGATTTTGTAAACGATACGATCTTTCATTTCTGGATGCAGATAAATGCTCTCACCCACCCTGCAAAATTCTCCTTTCTTCTATCGGGAATCTACAGGGCAGTGCAATTCCTCTGGAAAGATTCTATTATACATCCGAGGTATGTAAAAAGTGTCATGTTTAGCAAATGAGTCTCGAATAATTCAGTCAACTTGAGTTTCTTCATTGCTAAGTGTAACTCATAGGAAGCAAACAGAAAGCCATAATACAAGTGTATGTGCTTGTGTATGTTTGAACAAATAGGTGTATACTTTTATGAGATTTCCTCAGAGCTTGAGGTTTTCTGTATCACTCTTGAGAGGGTCAGATTATGGAGCATTCTTCTTGTATTCGACAAGACTTATTCTGTGACCTCTGGTCAGAATGGAGCAATTGCCCGAGTGAAACAAATATATTAGGGTAAAACTGCTATCCATGAAAGCTATGATGTTGACAGTGCAGTAAAAAGTAACACCGTGATTTTGCATTTGGCTGTCCCAATTGAGAGTCGAGTTTGTGGTTACCAAGTCATGGTCAAACCTCTTTAGCTGTTCATAGATGCATTTTAAATAACAAAGTCGAAGAAAGATTGTTGTCTCTTGAAACCTTGTGTTTTTTGGTGCTAGCATAGTTGTTCAAGGATTTCATGCAAAAATTTATCAAAAACGTATAGAAGGAAAAGCAAGAATTTTGCAAATCCTGTGCAAGAGATCTGAAATCATCCTTTTGAAGATGAAGTGAGCCGCATGGTAATTGTGCAGCACTTCCTAAGTTTAATATTGTTGCCTAAACTCCCGTCTCAAGCAGTAATCCATTGCAAAGATACCGTTGATTTCTGCGGAATAGGACAGTAAAGATGCACAGTTCCTCTGCTGCTTGTTTTAATGATTAGTATATGAGATTTTAGGTCTCACTCCCAATGCAAGTGTGTTTAATTTTAAATTATGTTACTTCCTTTCGTAAGCACACATAAGCAAATCAGGAAGAAATGGGAAGACGTTACATAAGTATATTAACCTACTGAGTTCATTGAGAAGCGATCAAGTGATGGATCCAGCATCATGGTTACTCTCATGCTCTCTTACCTTTCGCTTGTGTACACCAGCAAAATGATATCTTCAAACATATGTTGCGTTTGATAACTTTCCTTGATATCGTCATCTGTATTTAATTGATAGATTCTGCTAAATTACTTCTCTTGAGTTATAAGTTAGCCTTCCATCCCAATATTGAACCTTCTACAGTTTTTTGGGATGTTCTCTAGTGGGGGTTTGCTTGACTTGAGGCTAGCTGGTGAACGTTATTGTGACGATGACGATTGGGACAAATTGAGAAACAAGCAAAACAACATGGAAGACCTGGATTTGTCCAGATATTGTTTCTCTTCAGCTTATGTGGTGGCTCTACTGCATGACGGTCTTGGAATTCCTTTTGATGATAAAAGGTATGGTTGCTCTATACTTCCAAACTGGACTGCTCATGAATTCTTATTTCTGTCTACCATGGATGTAGAAAAACCTTTCATTTCAAAACTGGAACTTGATCTCGAGGGTCAACAACTAAGGTGTAAAGTATTAAGGATGTGCTATCTGTTAGTACTTCGTTTGCAGATTGTGTGTTAGCCTGCGCTCTCATTGTCGATCCAAGTTCAACAAGTGTTTCCCACCTTTGTGATAGTTTCTCCTTGTTGGCCTTTACTTGGGATTCATGTTTCTTGATGTTCCTTGCTGAAGACCATATCTCTGATAAGATATTTTCTGTCAGTTCCTCTTTCTCCATTACATGTGACACGGTTGGGTGGGATTTTTCTCTTTATCTATATGGTCCTTTCTTGTAGAAGTTGGCCACAATAGAAGTTTGTGTACAACAGTACATATGTACATGTGCAATTTATGAGTTCCTTGTGTAAAGTGTTTGATATTCCAACTTGAATTTAACTAATCACAGGGTTCATTCTGCAAATAGAACTGGAAGCATTCCATTTGACTGGACTCTCGGAGCTTATGTTGTCCTGACAATGCAGGACGCTGTTACATATGAATCCGATAACTTAGGGGAAATTGTTGGAAATGAGTCGGTCACATACTTTTCATTATTTGCTGTACTTTTGATAGTTGTACTTGCTGCATTTCTAGTTTCGCAATGGCAAAAACCACAGTTAAAGACGGTATATGATCTGGAGAAGGGGCACTATATAGTAACACGCTTGCCTAGGTAATTAGTTAGTCATTTTTATTTCTCAAGTCTGTACATTCTTATGGAGGGATTGATCAAGAGAAGACATAAGCAGAGCAGGGCGCAGCATCGAGCAATGCATCGGAAATTGCTACTGGGGACAAAACAGAGAGCTCGTCCAAAGTCCGAACAAAGCAAAGAAGTATGAGGATCTGCACTCATTTATTGGTGTCAGCCCGATTTTGCGATTATGAATGAGTACATATAAAAGTTTTTGCTTGGTTCCTTGCTTGCACTCCTCTCTCTCTCTAAATACCATTCCATTGATATCTCATCCATATTTAGGCTAATATCATATTGGAGTTTTATCAGGTTTTGGTTCATGTCAGTCCTTGGTAGTTGGCTGCGACTACAACCAATGGCTAGAGGTCGATCTATCAGTGTCAGTAGCTATGAGCTTTTTAAGTGGTATTACTTTATTGGTGGTAAATCCTTCCAATCTGACTATGCTAACAAACAAAGATTGACCAAATCATTTTCTGTTATTTATTACCACTCGTTTTTTTTTTTTGGTCAGAATCTATTACCACTATTTTTTTTTGGTCGGTTTCAGAATCTATTACCACTTCAAAAACCATAAATTGCTGTGCTGTATCTAATCAAAACCCTAAAGCTGGGAAACGCTAAATGCTGGCAATGGGATACTAGATTGTGTAGCTTCCTTTGTGCAAGTCCCGTAAGATGTTAAGCACGATAGCCGTCCAATGATTATGTCCATTTTTTTTTAGAAAAGTAATCAGCACCCATCATTGTCTCGATCACCGTCGTGCCTGATAAAACATGGTAAGAAGTCACATTCATCTTTCGGAACTTGCAGGAGCCAGGGCAAGGTTGAGGAAGCAGTGTCTACGGTTTCCTCTGCTTTGCATGTGAGATATGCTAAGTAGTTGGTAAAATATGCCATTACATGAACTGTAGGATAAGGATCTCTTTATTCTAGTTCTCCAAAATTAGCTTTAAGAGGAAATCCCATAAATGTGCCCACTACCACGGTTTAACATAAAAACGGAGATTAAGAACATTGAAAGTTGTTGGGCAAATCACTTGAAGACTGCATCAACAAGACAAAAATGTTTTAATTACGGAGCTGGACTTCAATAATTCCCTCATCCCCATGAGCTAATTGATCATCCGATCTGAGATGAATCTCGTGACAGGCTTTGATCCTACAAACAAATGGAAAGGTGGAGTTCCATGTGCCTAAAACTTGAACTGCATCTGGGGAGCGTATCCAAGCTCGTCAAGGTAAGCAGCCATCGCTCTGTTCATTGGTGGTGGTCCACACCTCAATACCTAAACATAGCATGATCCATTAATTTATTGATCAGAGAAAAGGAAAGATAGAGTAGGAAGTTATAAATCATGCACGTACCTGAATGTCACTGGCTGGTGCTGGGCAGTGAGTTTGAATCATCTCTTTGGATACGAAACCAACGCCACCATCCCATATTTCTGGCGGCTGCAACAGCACATGCTAAGTGAGTGATTTCATTACTAAAGTACCAAAAAAAATGTGAGTGGACCGATCAACAAAGTACAAGTCTGAATTTGCTTATTATAGCCACCAGTACCATGCGGAAGAACCATAGTAGCAGAGTGGAAATACATCTTTTGTATAATACTTTCTCCTACCAAATTGTCTGTCCTTAGTTTTTCTTCTTTCCTTTTTTTGATAAAAAATTTCGCACAGTGTTATATATGGCTTAGGGAGACGAGAGAAAATCATTCAAACATCTGGAAAGAGAGTTCTGATTCATGTCAGATGGGACAAGGAATTACAAGTTTAGGCACCAAGTTTTGTCATGTATGTCAGAGAGAACGCACACTTTCGCTAGATGCATGTCAAGAAAAGACAAAAGGAAAACCAAAAGATTAAACAAATAAAAGGAGAGGCACAAAACCTGATTCAAGACATAATAGACATTGAATTGATCAGGAAAACTCTGAGCAAAATTATCCAGCTCTTCCTGCAAAACGCGTTGGTAATATTATTGACCCACCCTTCAGATAGTAAAATTAGATAATCTCATGTAACTTCAATATTTGGTGAGGTACTCTTTAAATACAAATTCAATCGGCAGATCATGCAAGCAAAAGAGAGATCAGCAAAGAAAGATTATTTCCTGGAATAGATAATCCCATCTGCCTTATGGCTTTCTGAGCACTTTGTTCGCACAAAAGGCTAGGTTCCATAACATCAATTCAAATCGAAAGCAAATTAAACAACAAAATGTTGCCCAAAATGGTTCTGGCGTTACAGCCATCAGTTAGGACCTAGGTTGCTAAAACTTAACACAAGTGATTTCCGAAATGATACCTCAAAAGTAGAATTTTACTGCTGCATGAAGCAGAATCATGCATTCGAAAAGATGTCTCCAACAGAAAATTCGAATGCCTATCATGCTACATAGCTACTATTCAACTTTATGACCATTGCCTCGGATTCCAATTCAGATATCATCAAATATTGTTCATGTCATCCCATAGAACGAAAGAAGTTCAATTGAATATAATCAGAGAGAGAGAGAGAGAGAGAGAGAGACTCCAACCTTCAAAAGGATGTCCTCGTATGTCACATTGGCATAAATGAGGTGAATCTTGGTCTTGTCACCAGGATTCTCTAATATGGCTCTAGCGACCTAAGTGCATCCAAGGACATAGCGGCAATCATAAAAACCAAATCTTTTGGCATTATCATACCATCAGATAGGAAAACTATTTGCGTACTGCCCAAATTTGTCATCCTACATACACACCTGGAACATTGGAGTAATGCCAGTACCTCCAGCGAGCATCCCAAAAGCCCTCACTTGGCCAGGTTGATACTTGAAGCGACCCTAAGAAAAGATTAAAAGTACACTGAAGATAAATCTATTTTGACCATTACCAGCAGATAAATAATTCGGTTACACTCTGATTTTCGAGCATCAGACTTTGGCAAAGAGAATCAGCAGTGGACTCGTCATCTTCGAAAGGAGCAGTAACTGGGACTCTGTATGAGCTTCATTAATTTATTTATGTTGCATTGTGTACAATCATCTATATAATAAAAAATCTTGCTTAACATGTGGTGTGCAGCTAAAAAGACGAGCATTTAGATATATCCGATCCGATAGGCCATTGGCATATTACAACTGCATCAGAAATGTAATACACAAGACAGTTGAATGTTTACCATTCGTTATCTCTGTAGAGAGCAGTGAATAACACATCCAAAACTCATAATTAACTCGATAAAGCGTTCATGTAATTCAAGAGGCTTGACACAAAACGCTTTCATGAAGGAGCAATCTAGCCCATCTAAGGAAGCACAGCTTTTAGGAATGCAAACCTGAAGCACAACATCATATACGGTCTAAAATCTATAATCTCATCTTCGGTCCTTTTGCTGTTCGCCCTAATATATGCTTTGCCAGGACACAAATTCTAAATCTTAGTGAATAGCCTTCTGCTCGAGGCCATAATCTTTAGCGTGAGTCCCAAGGCAGTTGAAACAAAACTTCTCTTAACCCCCCAAAGAGAAACAGGCACCGTGACTAAAAAAATTCAACTTTTCGATTGCTGATAAGAAAATTTTCTGAAGCTACTAAACTAGGACACCAATTCCCAACCTGCTTCACATTAGAACATAGAGAATTGAAATGCTTAAGATGATCCATCACTCGACAACCTGAAATCATCAGCTACTGGAAACAAACTGTATTCTGAAACAAATTCTCTTAAAAATCGTACCTTAGGCCCCTTCACAGCCAAGTAATCACCTTCGCGCATTTCCCGGAAATGGTGGGACATCCTTCCCTGGGGATACATCTAATCTCAAGGAAAAAGAACAAAAAACAGATGACGTTGTGAATGCCTGGAAGAGGAGGGAAAAGAAAAGGGAACTATATCTGCCTCCCCAGTGAATTAATTCAGCCCAAACCTTTATAACTAGCTCAAAGTATCCAACATCAGAATCCAAAGTGGTCGGAGTGTAAGGCTTTGTGACTTCTTCACCGACACTATCCTTTCCTCTGTTATGGAAAAACACACAGAAAATTTTGACAATCAAATGCCTTACGATGTCCTTACGCGCGACTCCCCAAGCACATACAGAAACACCAAACACAAGCCACACATCACGAACTTAGTCATATTCAACCAAACGAAAAGGTCAACGAGAGCTGAAACCTGCAACTCATGTGCTGCCCAATCGGAAGCCCCAGGACCGAGCTCGGGGTAGGAAGAGCGAATCTAAACTTGGCGACGTTGTGGCTGAGCTGCGTCCTCTTGACGAGCTGAAACTCCTTGAAGTTGTCGGGATCAAGACAGCCTGGCACACATTCCGAAACGCCGCGAGTCAATCGAAATCGAAGGACGCAGAACGAATCTCAATCTCCGAAGGGAAGCCGGACGAGCCACGGGACGGAAAAACGGAAACGGGACGACGAGCACGGGGAACGGCGGTCCCGCGGACGGGGGGCGGCGTACCTTTAGGTTTCTTCTGGAGGTAGAAATAGTAGGCGGTGCCGGCTCCGATGGCGACGAGGGCGACGGCGATGCTCAGCATTTCGACGCGGTGAGACTGCAGCGGCTCCATTTCCCGGGGGGGCGCTTCGAGGAGCTGCGACCGGCGGCGACTCGAGGAAGACGAATCGCAGAGAGAGAGTGGAGGCAGGAAGCGAGCTCTCGCTGTTGGCTTCGCTCCGTCTCTTCTTTAGTTCGAGTTTGGTCTATTTTTGCGTGAAGCGGATGTGGAGCCGGTTGCAGGATAATCGGATAACGCACGGTTTCAGGTGATTCCCCTCTCATTCCCCATCAGATTTTTTTTGGCTTTTTTCTTTTTTTTTTTGAGGAATTTCCGAATAAAAACATTAAATGTTTTCGTTTTCTCAAATAAGAGCCTAAAGTGGATTTGGTATGAAGTGATCATGGCAGTTTTGAATAAAAACTTGAAGTGACCGTATCAAATAAGGGCCTAACCTCGCCGGCCTTATTTGAGAAATTGATGGTATCTTATGCCCTTATTTGAAATTTTAAGAAAGGAGGATCGCAACTGTAGAAAATTAGAAATGGCCCCGTTGAAACATTGATCCTTTACCCCTTGCCCATCTAAATTATTGAGTGGGAAAATGACACGAATAATCCTTGAAATGGCCCTTGAACTTTGCTCAATATGCAACGTGGTACTTGAACTTTAGCTCGATATGCAATGTGATTTTTGAAATTTTAATTTATTGTCTATATGGATAATATTGAACATTTTCGTATAGTTCGGGGACTACATTGAATATGTACCGAAATTCCAGAGACTACATCGACTAAATTAAAAGTCTATGGACCACAATGCACATTGGGTTAAAATTTATGAATCGCATTAGTCATTACATATTGGGTCAAAGTTCATGAATCATTTTTGTAATTATCTCTTCTCGAAACATGAAAAATACACGATCAAGCCCTCAACTTATTGGATTTATTTTCAATCAACTAATTTTATAGTCAATTCTGACAAGTTTAAGCTAATGTGACGCTCAAAAGATGGTCCAAAGTATAAGCTCGAATTTTGAAACAACCAATGTGAATATATTTCCCTTATAGTTTGGTTGGTGCAATTTAATTATTTTTGTTGTTGTACTCTCAAGTAGCACCAGTATGCCGGTTGGCTTCTATTTCCCAAGATCATAAATCATTTTGAATAGGGATATAAAATGGGTCTAGAACCCTCATATTTAATGGTGCATGTTAAAATATGCTTAAGTGGGTCCAAGGAATAGATGCCTAACAACTTAATGGGTTCATTTTGAAAGGTTTATGACTGAATTGATATAAATACAAGATGTTTAAGAGTTTTGTTTGGGTAACTTCCCTGTATGTTTTGTCACAATACATGCATACTTTTATAGTTATATATGCATTTCAATCTTTATGTTTTTTTAATGTTTTTTCTTTTATTTACTAACAAAATTTATCTAGTCAATTTATTTTTTTAATAAAAAATCTATTAAACTAACAAATTTTTATGAAGAGCTTAAAGCAGACATATAGAAGTATTTTAATAATATGAGTTGAGTCGTTAAAATTGTGCTAACACAAAAACGGGTCAATACAGGTTAAAACGTGTCAATCTGGGCCGATCCAAACTTGACCCGACCCACTAATTTGACGAGCCTGGTTTTGAGTCATATGCTTTGATCGAATCGGGATGGATGGACGAGAGTGAAATAGTTGATTGATTAACTCGGAGGCCTCCCCTGCAATACTTTTAAATTCGAGATGTGGTCCGAAATTCTTCCCAAATTTCAAGAAATCCAGCAGTGACACCAGGAAGTCCTAAACAGCTCGAGGACGGAGCCGACAGCGATAGCGACGGCGAGCGGCGAGCGGCGAGCGGCGAGCTCGTCCATCGCGCCGTTCATCGCACGCCGTGACGGTGGCCTGTTCCCTAACCTCTCGCGCTCGGTGCGTTCTCGGCCGGATCGCCAGACCCGACCCGAATCTCCCCCGGACCCTCCGGTTCTGCCCCTGTTTCACCGAAGCATCGCTGGCCCATAGGCGCGTTGATCGAAGGAAGCGAAGAATGGTGTGGGGACTTTTCCCGGCGGATTCGCTCTCAGGTAAGACGTCTCTAGTTCGCGCATGGAGGAACTCGCGGTTGTGTGGACCTCGGAGACGGGTCACTCTCTGCTGAAAAGGCCATGTGCTTCGAGTGTGATGATATAGCTTTTGGTTTGCATTTTCATGGCGGAATTGTTTCTGACGTGCGTTGTGTGTGTATCCGATGGCGAGGCAGGTGAAGAGAAGTACTATATCTTCAGCAAGGGGACTTATAAAGTGGGCCGAAAGGGTATGTTGCTGTGCATCTGATTCTTGAAAATGCCTTCGAGTATGTTGGTTTGGTTTCGATTCTTGTTGTGTGCGATCAGCATATGCGGGCCGGTTCCTCGAGGGGAACTCATTCTGTTTGTCGAGAAACATGAACTTACATTCAGCTAAGCCGGGTAACATTCAAAATCATGCATATGTATAAGCATACAAGCATTGCATCTGAACGTTGGCGCTAAAAATCCTATCTTCAAATTGGGCCATAACTCTGAATATGTTTGTTGGCTGTCTCCGAGTTATGCGGTTGCGATTTTTTTTCGCTCTTTGCTGTAATTACAGGTTGCGACATAATTATCAACAAAGACAAAGGAGTTTCGAGGATTCATGCAGAGATAACTGTCGCTGCAATGACTGATGCGAGTCCCTTGGCAGTCGCGTCTTCCGCCTCGTCTGCAAAGGTCCTGATAAGAGATTGCTCGAAGTATGGTACATTTATCAACAAAAATCTTGGCTCCCCGGAAAAGGTTCATGAGTTCCCTAACAAGCAAGCCACTTTAAAAGATTGCGATATGGTTTCTTTTGGAACTGGTAATGCAACCTACAGGTAACTGCATTCTTGTTTGGTGGTAAGAACATTTGCTCTGTTAATATTTCAAATGAATAGCATTCGCTTTTGCATAATCTTTTACATTAAGATTAACGATAAGTATATGAAAGGTCAAGATTGGCACTTGCATTGAAAGTGATGATTTCTTAATGAACACTTATTGATTATATCTTTTGAAATCTGGCAGGTTTTGTTTTGTACCACTTGTATTTTATGTCGTCTGCTCGGAATCTCCCTCATCATTTCGTTTTCTTGAAGAAAAAGTATCATCAATTGGTCAGTTCTCCTTATTTCTTTTTAAATCCCATAAGCTAGTTGGATTGCTTTATGATGTATGCTTGTGTGTCATATTGATTTGCTTTCTGAATAAATGAATGTTCTAATGTATTTTGGATGCTTTTAATAACTTCTTTTGAATTGGCAAAAGGTCGAGGGGTGGTGATAACTACCCACTGTGCATTTAGAATTGTAGTCCATTGCTTTTGTTTGTGGGCACAGCCCATGCATAATTATAGCTGCAAGGGGATGCAATGCAGCAGTCGGATTGTGAATAATGAGATGTCATTTGGTGAACATGGTAAATTGCAGTAATGGAAATGTTCTTTATGGAGGGTAAGGAAGATGCTAATTTTTTCTCCTTTGAGGCAAATGCTAGGTCCTTATATCGTTTCTTTTCTTTTATCATTTTCTTGGATGTGCTTGTACTTAGGATAGCTTCATACTATTGACTTGAGAAATAGTGGTGACTCCAGCATTCTTGGATGGTCCCTTGTTGTCAGTTTGCTGTGTTTTTGTTGGTGCATATCTGGACTGAACAAATAGCACTGAAGCTCCAGTAGCTACTGAAGTACCTAGCTGACTGGTGAATTCCTAGGCCGGGGGGGGGGGGGGGGGTGGCGAACTCATGAGTTTTGAAGATTTGAGAGTCTTACTGCCTTCTGGTTTTGTGGTTGCACTTTGATATCTCCAGATTAATAAATTGAGAAAGTGGCCCTTAAGGTTATATCCATGTACAGGTTTCTTAGGTGCCTGTGCACCATAGATCCTTTACCGGCTGCCCTTCTCTTTATGCAGATTTGATCAGGTCCATAAGAATGATCTTTCTTTCATTCTGCATTTGTTTTGGACTTTAGAGACTGCCTATATAGATGGTATTTTGTCTTCTACTGTGTTAATTTAAATAGAAGGGTTTTTGGCTACGATGAGATCTTTCATTCTGCATTTGTTTTGGACTTTAGAGACTGCCTATATAGATGGTATTTTGTCTTCTACTGTGTTAATTTAAATAGAAGGGTTTTTGGCTATGATGAGATGTTTAATTGGTTACCATGGTATTTCATATGGAGTTGTGGCCTCATGGTTAACTATTTTCTCAAGCAGGTGGTCTGGTAACTGAGAATTGTAGAGAGTGCACACATGTCCTTGTTGATCAATTCATGCAAGTCGAGGCAAGCCTGCTTGATGCAGTTGTGGCTAAGAAACATTTTGTGCTTAGTAGCTGGCTTGAGGTAAAATTATATTAAACATCTCCCAGAACTTCTTTCTGCTTGTCACTTGGCAATCTAGTTAGACATTATCATTGATGATTTTCCACTTTCTTAATGGATTTAATTGGACAAACCTATTTGGCATTCAGATAAGGTCTTCAAAATAGTTCCACTAATTCTGATCAGTCTCATGTATGCATTCACATATTTCTCGTGGTCTAAAGTTTTCCTATCATTATTTGTTATTGGTAAGATAAATCCATCTCTTGTTCTTCGGTTTACGTGACTAGCTGTTTGGTGGCTAGTGTCTTGAAAGGTGGAAGGTTTTAGGTGTTGATTCAAGGTACAATATTGCAGTGTTCCGTGGGATTGGTGGAGCGGATTCTGCCTTTTTTTAGGGAACTTCTCTTTTTTCAAAGTCATTTTTTGTTCAGTTAACTATTATTAAAGTTTCTCCCCTTCCTCTCCTTCTTTCTTATATGTGCTTTCTTTCTGGATTGATTTTAAAGGTTATATATGTAGCTGTTAGGGAACTGGTCGAGTTTCGTAGAGTGGTGTAATATGTGTTTGGGAGGGAAATGGGCCTTCAGGGTGTCGGGAATTCCAAAGCACATATATCATGTCACTGAGAGCTGAGGGCTTTCAGATTTCACTTTTCTTCCTGACCCAGGACTGCTTTCTTCTTCTTCTTCTTCTTCTTTTTTTTTGGTAAGGATTCTTCTTCTTCTTTTTTAATCCCACAGTCCTGTAAAATATGACTATAGTCATTAATTACATGCGATTTCTTTGGGAAAACCAAGGCTTTAATGTTCTTCCGACCTTTCTTGCTTTTGGCATGTAGCATCACTGTATTTGAATAATACAAACAAAATCTTATGTTGAGACGTTGACAGTCAGATGGAAACCGAATTTGAAAACTGGTCTGCATTTATTAAATTATACAAGTGCCACAGGAATAGGATAGGGGCCTGATGGTGGTTAATCTTTATCAATACTCAACATGTCTTAGATACATTGCCAGTCAAAATTGTTTCTACAAGTATCTGATTGATGCTTTATTCTAGTATCTTGCAGGAAAAAATATCTTGAATGAGATCCCTAGCTACACTTCGTAAGTTTATTCCATTCTAGCTTGATTGCACGCGGTTTTTTCTCGACAAAATACTATATATGTGCATCTCATTTGAATAACCACAATGTTTATTTCCAATCAGCCACCTTCCAACAATAGTAGCTGAAGGAGTATCAGTCAAAGTTGCCGAACCTAAAGCTCGTGAAACTTGTTTGGGGGGATATACTTTCTTATTGGAACCAATGCAGATGGTACTCCACCATCCTTTAATCACTTAAAAATATTTTCAGGTCTTGATCACAATTTATTTGTCTGCTCAACTTTGTTGCTTGCTATTTTTCCATTGAAAATATGGTGCATAATTTCATTTGTGGTTGGGACTTAGAAATAGGGATGGCACCTCAATGTTTCAGCAGGGCACTTGCCACCACTGGCTTTATTTTTTTTTTAGGGATTTTGTGTATTTTTACTAAAAAAAAAGGTTGTTTGCATGTTTTTTTTACCTCTGGCCCCTTAAAAAATTTACTTGTTAACTTTGACCCATGTATCTCGTATAATGTTTCACTTATGTGTCTTGTTTGTTAAATTTGCATAGAATTTGACATGGTTGTTATAATTTCATGCTTTTTCAATATATGAAAAAAAATAAAAATACTCCACTTAAGATTAATTAGCATCATTATATTGTTGCACCCACTGTCAAGATGGTCTAGCTCCATCCATGCTTATAATGCTAAAATTGTTCCATCAATTCATGCTTATTGGCACTGATAAATTCCTAGGCTTGAAATAGAGGAGGCAACTTTGACCCAGGAATACAACATAAAATTGACTTCAAATTAATGTTTCAGCTTCTTAATAATGTCTTGTGTGATTGATCTGCTTTTAACATGATAGGCGAAGAAGGCAAGTCTTATGTTTTGCAATATCTACGCTGAGATGTTTGAGCCACTATTTCATCTATTGATGCCATTTCCTTTAAAATTGCACCGTTTGGATATTCTAACAATTGGATTATTTAACTTGGAAAGAGGAGTTTTCTTTCTTGTGTTTCCTGGTTATACAAATGGGTCTAGTGATGTTGTTTGGGTTCATATAGTTGATTAACGCTTTTGTATCTGGTTGATGTATCTAGGCATTTACCAACTTGGACTAGTAAAAAGCATGACCATGAAGTGTTAAGTGATGCAAATGACCGCCTTACCAGATTTATCTATGCAGAACCTGATATGATCTCAACGTGATATTGAAGTTATCTTTTATTTCTCGATATGCAGTATAAGTTTGGAGATAAACTGCAGATGCTGTTGGGCGTAGCTGGTGCAAAGATTCTTTCAGCTAATGAATTCCATTTTTCTAGCCAAGTATGTATTTCATTCCATAGGTAATGTCACCTTGTTTGTAAACTGAAAGCTTCTAGTCATCTGCATGTGGGTAGTGAATGAACTACGTAGGTGGCATGCCATCTCTAATGCTATACATGGTGTTTATGTAATTATTACACTTAAATGCTGTCACTATCTTAATCACGGTATTGTTAAGTTGAATGGAACTTATCTAGCCATTTACATACAAATACATCTCATAGTAACAATTCCTTTTGGAAGTTCAAGCTGTCTGTGAATATATTTTTTCTCTATTCCAACATCTACCAGCAGTTAACTTTTTCATTGAAAGATCTACAAAACATTTAATCATCAACCCAGTAAGGATGGAGCTAGGACGTCCGGCCAGAGTATGCACTAAAATAATGATTAATGAGCAGAAAATATTTCTAATGTGGATATTTTGTTATTTGTGTTTTGCACTAGAGATGTTTAAGCCTGCAAGATTACATATTTGCGATCATAAATACGAATGCAAGTTTGAAACCTTGTTATAGTTGCATTTTTTTACTTCTCAAACTTTGCTGTGCCTGGAATCCTTGGATCAAATTAGTGGAAGTCATAGTTAAATTGGGTCAAAGCCTACAAAGCAATAAATCATCAATTCCTTGCGGGGAAAATTAATTATATGTAATTAAGGGAGTTCAGCTTCAGTCGGGCCAACTGCCCCTACTGAATTCCCTTACACAGAGTTCTGAATTCCACTTGCAGTGAGCAACAATACCTAGCAAGAGAAAACTTCTCTTGTTGAATAGCATGATTGATGTGGCAGGAATAAGATGTTGTTCGTTCTGTCTTGCTGTTTTTGTATTATACATGCCTGAGTTCCTGCTGACACGTTTCGCGGACGCCTTTTGCTTGTACTATAGGCATTGGAGTTTGAGAATAATCGAGTTGTGTATGTCATGCCTAGAAGAACTGTGGATAGTCGCTCCAGCAAAGTCAGTTTATTGTTTCGAGTTAATGAACTGGATTTGGTATGCGCTGTTTTGTCTGCGCATCTGGACACTTCCTCACTTATATCACCATCCGGTAAGACCTTTTAATAATAATATGACCATACGATGTCAAATCAAATGCACTTATACACTTGAACTACTTTTCTCTTCTATATTGGTATATATTTGCATAATTTGTTGACATCAGCCGACACCCTTATCAGCAAGCATTTCTTTGGTGTGTTTTCTTTTCCTGGAAAACTTTGATATAAGCCTAACATAGAAGGCTGGTGGGTCAACTTTACTGTTGCCAATGGCTATAAATACCAATTGTGTGATTTTAATAACATAGAATTCAGCAGCCTGAATCTTGTGAGCTACTGGGCTCTTGATAAGAGCCGAGAAGAAAGAGAAAGCGATTGAACAGATTTTTAAGATTCTGTCAATATCCTTTGGCTGAATCTGCTTGTTGACCTCTGATGCAGAGTTGAGGAGACTGCTAGAAAATACCAAATTGATGTTTCCTACAAAATTCAGGGTTTCCTGGGCTGTCTGATCTACTATGTCAAGCCATCCCAAGCAGTTGAAAGAATGCCTGATAAGATGGGCCAACAATAACCTAAAGAAGTAAATCTGAAATATGGCCAGAAACTTAGGAAAAACCATTCTTTTCCATATGAAAGAAATTAAGACATTCTCTGTGCCATTTAGTGGATAAAGTTTTGCTGCTGCTTGGAAAAGCCATTTGCTAATTTTGGAGAACTTTCAACTTGAAAAGCATCCAACTTCTTCCTCTTTGAAGATGGTGAATATGAAGTATCTATAATTGTGGGGAAGACGTTCTACTTTTTTGTTGATAAGTTACTTGAACAATAAAAGATCTTCTGCTGCACTCAATATGTTGGTGCATTCGTTTTTATGCTTTCCGTGGTACTTTGCAATAATGATAGTTAAGTCCATTCTGCTGTTTGCTGTACCCACTAGTTAACGTTTCATCTGAACAATAGTAAGAGGCGGAGGACTTTGTTTCCAGGTACTATGACCATGCTTCATGAGATTTGAGATAGGAGACTGACAGCTATATGTGTATCCATTCAATTGTGCTTGGTCCTGCAGTAACATTGTTACATCTAATTTCTGAGGAGGGTTTGTATGCTGCTACATGGAAGAACTAGTCAACCCTCATATCAAACAATGAATAATTTTTTTAGTGTGAGATTCTTTGCCATTTTTGAGTCAGAGTATGCATTAATAGTCAAATCTGTCCTTTTTCCAGTAATTGTTTCGTCTTCCTGCTCTACGGACGAGACAGTGGTAGCTGACTCAGAGGCAGAAGATGAAACTGCGACATCAATGCGTTTAGCTTCCCCTGTTCATCTAGAAAAACACACTGTGCCTGACGATTCAGGAAAAGCTTCCCGAAATGGTGTTGTAGCTGATTCAGAAAATGACCATGCTATGAGCAACAAGTATCACTGTGACGACATTGTGGTTAGAAGTGAGAGAACCTCCACATCGACGCATGCAACTTCCCCTGTTAATCTAGAAAAACTAACCATGCCTAAAGATTCAGGAAAAGCTTCCACAAATTGTGTTGCAGCTGAATCAGAAAATGACCGTGCTATGAACAATAAGTACATCTGTGATGACATTTTGATCAAAAGTGACAGAACCGATGAGTCTGCTGAAGGATCTTCAGATATTATCTACAGCCAGGATTTAATAGTAAGGCGCACTACTTTACCTGCAACGAGCTCTGTGGATGGCTCTGGAGTGAACTTTAAACGCTTTAGAAAGGTATTCATTCTCTGATTCATTTACGCCCCTGCTACTTAATTTTCAAGTTAGGTATGGTTTCCAGTCTATCCAGAAAGCAGAGATACTAAGTTGTGTATATATTTCTTGCCATTAATGTTCAGTGTGTTCTATGCCGTTTGCGATCTTAATTACAATCTAGTGGTTTATTCATAGTTCGTCACCTTATGCTGCTTTGCACATTCCTGATGGAATAAAAGTTTGTTGGCCTTCTCTCAGCTTATGAAAAGGACACAATTTGTAATTGCCAGTATTATTTTTTCCTTCCCACAGCAAGTTGCCAGTTAGGCATATGATGGCATTTTGTGGCAGATTCGATCTGCTGAATTTTGGGTATACATGTGCCTAATTTTGTGCTGCAATTCAATTCTAGAAAAATACTCCATCGGGGAATAGCTTCACCAATCTCGTTCCATTTTCAAAATTTCCTTACAAGTAAGTTTGTTGTCCTCAATACATCTTAGCCTCTTGCCTTGTTAAGGCTTTTGTTAGATTGATCTTCACATGATTAATATTCTGTGGTGTAGGGAATCAGACTACAGAAATGAGCAACTGGAGGAATCAGTCAGGGAAGAAAAGAAGAGGAAACAAATGGAAGCCATGGCCGAAGACCTATTTAATAATGATAAGGTGATCTGTTTATGCTGAAGATGAATGAGGGCGATGACTGAGAACTGACCATTTTCTAATTTTGCAGGGAAGAAAGCGTGGGGCTGCGGGTTCCCTTCGCAGGCTTCTTACGCGCAGTTGACTTGGGTAATAATTTACTTGTGCTATTTTCAAGGACACTGGGGAAATAAAGGAAATAACTTTAAGCACGAGGATCGTGTTGGGCATCAAGGCTTATACTTTTGGGCCATGTTTGAGATGCCGATGTTTTAGGCGTCTCAAACACCCGCATAGGCATAGATCTGCACGTGTGGACACAAACAATTAACTCGACGTGTGACTTTGCACTTTCACACAGGCAATTCAAACAAACAGTCACGGCAGCTCCAGTTCACATCCAGGGATTATGTCGAGCCGGGAAAACAGTCGCTGCTCATGTAACTTTTCCACTGCTCGAAGCCGGAGCTTCGTCTGCATATGAGCATTTTTGGGTTTACAATGGAAAAGTCAGGCTCTGAATTTATTTTGGAGATGCGGAACCAATTCTTGCCACACCATTTGGTTCTTCAAGCTTGGAACCCCGTCCTAGGAGAGAACTCTATGTTTATAGATGAACTGACTAGCTCTCAGTCTTGGAGGCTTGGAGACTTCCCTTTCATCAATCGAGACCTCTAACACGTTGGCCATCGTGTTCTTTTCCGACTTGTGGTATGCATTATCTTCATGTAAAGTCCTGTGAATACTGAGCTCTTGTTGCCTTGCTGTCACATTGGCCACTCTTTTTACCCTCATGAATTATCTTCGGTGGCAAAAGTCAGATATAGTCCTTTGCCAAGATGACTAGCACGGTTCTCCTTTTTTGTTTTTTGAAAATATAGAAAACGTACCTCATATTTTACCTAATAAACCAATTACAATTTGACCCCAAAAAAAACCACTTTTAAATCTCCACTTTTAGAAATATCAACTACATATTTAAATTCTACCTTTGAAGATCACAATTTATATCAATTATCCTTGTGTTCCTATTTGCGAAGATGTCATTCTTTTTCGTATAAGGTAACAGCTATATTCACCCAACTATAACTACTCCATAGGCCACTTTGAGAGTTTAAATGACAAAACAACCCGACTTCCGAATCCCATAGGCCATCCACACCCACCGGCGAGCTCTATGAGCAAGAGTTGGTATCAACTTAATGAAATTAAAAACCATCGAATCAAATGTAAGCAATGATCCCAGCGAAAAAGAAAATCCCAACCAGAGCAAAATCGAGCAACATCCTTGATGAACGATTGGGCAACAAGTCTTGAATAAGCAAATCAACGAGTGAAACAAACCTTGCAAAGAGATGTGAGGACACACGCTCGTAACACTAGCTAGCATTAGGCAACGAACTTCTGGGCTTCTCCAGAACTACAACGTGCACCTTTTTGATCTCTGCCATCAAATGCTCCTAAGCATCCCAGCAAGCAGAGTAAATATTCAATTGAGCAATTGATCCCATAAAGAACCACTTTTATGTCGTCCTTCATGAGATGATCTCTGCCCTCAAACGCTCATAAGCATCCCAACAAGCAGAGGAAATACTGAATTGAGCAATGGATCCGAGAGAGAGAGAGAGAGAGTTTTGCCAGAGAGGAAGTCATCGAGAGACATAAGGCCCGACTCTATGTCGAGATTTGAGAAGGTAATTGTCATGGCTTTCGCTGGATTGGACACGCGAAGAGTCGATGCGAATGAGGGAAGTGAAGCAACGAGCTTGAACCTTCAATCAAGGTGGCGAAGCAGTAGAGAGAGAGAGAGACTTTGATTCTTGCTATTTAATTATGGTAATTTGTTTGGATGACTAGTGGCTTTTCGCCAGGAGGTAATTCTCATGCAAACACCATATGAATTTGAAATAGATGATAGAGCATCCTAGGAAAATTGTTCAAAAAATCCTAAATTTGTTGTACGACGGTCAATTCAATTTTAAAACTTTCAATTATACCAATTTAGTTTTAAACCTTTTTACAATTTGTCAATGTAATATTCTCAGCCAATTTTGGCCGGAAATCATTGACGTGGATGCTAGCCACCCTATGTGGTATGGCTAACGTGGATAATTTTTTTAATAATTTTTTTTATAGATTTCTTTTCTTTTCTTTTATTTTCTTTTTTCAAATTGCTAAGGCTAGCTACTGGGCAAGAATTGCGAAGCCCTCATCAGCCGAGGGTGAGGACTCGCGAGGGCAAGTGAGGGCGGGAAATAAGATTAAAGAAAGAAGAAAAATGAAGGGAAAGAAAAGGAAAAAAGGAAAAATGGAAAAAAAGTCAACAAATATTATAAAACGTTGCAAAAATCGTCCACATTAGCGTTGGTCAGCGTCCACGTAAGTGATTTCTGCGCAAAATTAGCTGGAAGGAGTATATCAATAAATTGTCAAAAGGTTTAGAACTAAATCGGCACAATTTAAAGGTTTATAACAGAATTGACCCATGTATAACATGTTTAGGACTTTTTGGATAATTTTTCTGAATACTGTTCCATGTCTCAATTCATTCGCTCGAGTCTTGAGCACCATCGGAATTCAACTGTACAAACAGCCCCCGTTGAGGCTCCTTATCATAATTTTTCTAGTAATATTACATTTTTAATCCGTTTGTTTCACAAAAAATTAAATGATTCGAAATTTTTTCTTAAAAAGTACTAATTATATCGCTCGGAATAATTAGTCGGTAAAAAATATTTTTATTATCAATAACAATATATGCGTGAATGCTTTCGTGGATGACGAAAATATTTTCTGCTCATTGATTTTTATAAGCGATACAAGCTATTATTTATAGGGAATTGTTTCCCAAAACGTGAAATTTTTTTCGTGAAAGAAACCGACCCTTCATATTACTTGATTCTCGGAATCGGAACAATGAGATAGCTTTTATTTACATGTTCGATATAACAGCAAGGTTTTTTACAGTGCAAGAACGAGTACTCCAAGGCTGAAATTTTGTCGAAACCTGCATATTCACAAAGAGAGATCTCATCCCTCGATGAGATCAAGAATCGATTTTGGTACTTTCCCCCTTCCTACGATGCCTCGTCGGCATCATTCTTGCGAAGGTTTTTTCGGCTTGCGAGTTCGCCTGTCCTTCTCCCCGATCGTTCTGGATCTCCTCTTTCTCATGCCGGGAACTTCGATCTCGCAATCGGGTAGAATTTTTCCGCAGTGCGGGCATTGCCTGCAACAGTAATGCAGCTGCTGCCTTAGCAAAAGGAAAACGTGTCGAAACGGTCTGTTCGAACGACCCATCGATCGAAGATGGAGAGAAAACGACGGGTCGATAATGGGTTGATCAGATCGGATCAGATGTATCTATCCATGTCAACAGAAAAACGGGAAATCGCGATTTCGAACGAAGGATCAAAAGAAGTGGAGATCTCTGTACTTAAAAGATACGAGCATAAAGATTAGGCTCACCAGAGTATGTGCTTCATGTTCTTGGTGATGGTATGTTCCGAGTCGACATAACTCAGGCAATGGCTGCACCATTCCATCACTCCTAAGTGGAGGAGAAAGACGGGATCGACGTATAAATACAAGTCATGTATTTATTTAAAGCTTGAATATACTTTCATGTTACCTATTAGGTTTCACAAATATTTCAATTCCGGGTTTCCATAATTATATACGTTTCCTTTCTTGGGACCCAAGAAATCCGAACTTTGACCATTACTACTCTGTTTGGCTTAAGCTATATGAGGAAACTTCTTGATTGCTTCGGACTCGGTCATCAAGTTTCACTAGAAGAATATAAACATCGTTTGTCAATTGGGGCTATTTCTGTTATGTAATAAAGCCGAAATCAATTTACGTTCGGAAAAATTACTCATTTTTTTTCCTTTTTTATGATAAGGAGATGGAGAGTGACGTTGATGGGTCAACGCATAAATATACCAAATACGTTAGTTTAGAGGAAGTAATCTTTTTTTATACATATTTGATGATAGAATGATTATTCTCGATGATTAATTTAATAGTTACTTAGCTATTTTGTGGGATAATCTTCTTTATTTGCGGAATTCTCTGACCTTTTGAAATCATGACCGAGTTGAGATATAAATTTTCGAGTTACCTAATGCTAAGTTTCGACCATCTTGACCCTGGCGTGAGCATGAAGTCCGCTTCAATCTGGGAATCGGGTCGGTTCTTGATTCAAGAAATTGAGAACCGGTCTAAATCGGATAGGGCCTCGATTGTAGGGATTGAACAGGAGATTTTACCCAAGACCGGTTCAAAGCCGATTGGCCCGGGTAGGACAGCTCTTTGATCAGCCAAGGGTGCCTTTACATGTATGGCAAAAAATAAAGAAAAGTGAACCTACTGCTTTGGGGATTATCTCTTAGTTTCGAGGATAATTGCTTAACTGGGATATCTTCATTTAAAAAGATTGAATCTTGCTATTTATAAAGTGTTAACAAACCGAAACCACTCAATTCGGAATCGGGAACTAGCCGGTTAGGTTCCAGGCCGGTTCCAAACCTATAGCTGATTTAGTTTCCCGGTTCCCGTTTCTTGGAATAGGGACTTGAAAGGTTGGTTCCAAATCGTACATCGGAACTGATCACCTCAACTTGATCCGACCCAGTCGGACCATTAGGCCAAATAGTAATCTCTTATACGACTTTGATTGGTCTCGCTAATTAAATGAATGTATGGTGCACGCCTTTTGGAACAATCTATGACTTTTGAAGAATCTTGTATGGAATCTGATCTAGGATTGACATAACCGTGGATCAGCCGTGATAACGAATCTAGTTAAAAATAGCTATAATGAATGTGATCCAGCAAATGAGGATCTTGATCCGACAAATGAGGATCGAGACGAGAATTTCCATACGACCTCATTTTTCTAACGATTTGTTCATCTGATCGAACGAGGAAAGGAGAAGTTATCGGGTGCACCTAATACGGTAAGCCCCAATTCATCTGAACCGTTAAGATTTCGTCGGATCCACGTGGATCTCGTAGCATCCGACGGTTGATGCACTTAATGTTTTTTATTTTTTATTTTTGTGTGGAGGAAACAGAACTATGTTCCGCAAGTACTCTACACCACGCGAAGCACGCTCCTCTGTAAACCTCTCTTCTTCTTCTTCTTCTTCTTCTTCTTCTTCTTCTTCCTGGCTGGAGTCTGGGGAGAGAGAGAGAATGTACAAGCGCAAGTTGCAGGAGGAGTGCCAGGCAAGGAAAATGGGGACTGCCGAGCTACTCCACGATCAGAGACGGACCGGAGCACAGGCCTCGCTTCCGGCCCTCCGTCTCCGTCGACGGCCAGTCCTTTGACTCTCCCGCGGCCTGCGATACCTCCAGACGCGCCCAGGACGAAGCTGCCAAGCTCGCTTTCCTTTCCCTCTCTCCTTCGCCTCATACTCCAAGTAAGCACCGAGTAAATCTCTCTCTCAAGTTCTACTAGTCCTTGTGCTCGGTTTGTTCCAGGGGAAAGAGTTTTCTCGTGACTCTTTTGACATGTATAGCTCTCGTGTGTGTTTTACAGTCGCGAACAGTTGTGTCGCAGCGTGTGTTCCGCATTGCTCATGTCCTGTTCATTATGTTCATCGCTTCTGAATCCGTGGAGAGGGTAAGCCGAGCGCTGACGGCTCTTCCACCGCCGCAAAACAGCACATCGAACGACTATCCAACGACAGTGATGACGATGACGATGACGACCGTGGCGATTTCCCTGAAACCAAGCCGAAGGGGCTCGGTTTCTTTGGCAGCGGTGAGGTGTAGTTTCTCCCGTGCTGTCCTCAACTTTCGTTTCTACTGTAAAGACCTTTTGGACCAAGAACAGAAAGGGGGACCCTGCCAATTCCGTGTGTCTACTCTATTTTAGTCGGTTCTTTTGGGCACCGCCCGCTTTGGCAATGTAATCCTCAGGCCGTCGATTGAATCGCAAGAAAGGAAATGTGCTGATGCAATCGCTAGGGAAATTCTGAACCAAGATTGCTGCTACGAAAAAGTTAGAGAGGGCTGAAGCATCTACTGCATCTCATTTCTTGATCTGAACGTTTAGTTCTGTTGAGCATTCTTGATGCATGATCAATCAATTAGTCGATTTATTCTCGTGGTTATGACGAAAACTCTTATCTCCAAGTTTGGCCAAATGGATGGTACTTTAAACTAATTGTTGTTCCGTTTCTCGTGATTGAGGATAGAGCTTGCTATCTTGTGTGACTAGTTTTGCTTTCACTTACCTAACTTATGTTTGTAGATTCGAAGAACCAATGCGAGAGCCAGCTGCAGAATTATACTCAGCGGAGAAATCTCGGTTTGCCTGTATATTCCCGCACAAGTCATGGACCCCCTCATGCCCGTCGATTTCGGGCCATGGCTGTAGTCGATGGATGTACATTTGAAAGCCCTCGATACTTCAACACTTTGAAGGAAGCGGAGCACGCGGCTGCGAAGATTGCTCTGATGTCATTATCGGCTGATAGATTTCAGGAGGTAAGTTCCCCATACGATACTCCCAATGTTCTGGTGCTTGTTTCGTCGTCACAAATCTATCGACGTCATAATCTCCGTAGATTCTTGGTAAAATTATGCCCTTTCATCTTTGCCTTCAGGATGTCCTGCATTGTTACAAGAATCTCTTACAGGAGCTAGCACAAAGAGACGGTTTACCCATGCCAGTTTATACGGCTACAAGGACCAGTTCACCTCGCGGTCCGATGTTTGTATCGTCTGTTGATATAGGAGGAGGGTCATTTCTTGGGGAAGAAGGGAACTCCAAGAAGCAAGCGGAGATGAAAGCTGCGCGAGTTGCTTATTCCATTCTGACAGAGAGAATCGGCGATTTTTCAACCAAAGCAGGAGACTCTGAGCCCGAGGCCGCAACCGTCACTGCAGGGATCGACTCATCTACTTGAGGAATGCACTTAGAGAAAACGGCTGAAGGTGGAAGTACTTCCGTCTCGTCCAAAGCACAACTTGACCATTCGGCCATCCCCTTTGTAGAGTCGAGCTTTCCGGATATTGCATTTCCTGAAGCCATCACCGTGTTACCGATAAGCGACGACAAATGGGTTGCTGCGAGCTTGGAATTCCCAAATGACTAAGGCTGTTAGTTTTGTGCAGCTTCCCGATGATTTTCTTCGATGACATCGGACGGACATAGATAACGGTTCAGCATCTATATCACTAACTAGCTCGTTATACCTAAAGCGATCATTGTCAGACTCTAGAACTCTGTCAGACTTCGATTGGATTTCTCTGTATAGGCTCTTCATTTGCATACTACAGTCATCTGATGTTCTATGTTCATTGTTCTCTGGACATTTTTTTGGTGCGATGATGCTCTCAGCCCTATAACATAATCTAGAATCACCAGCTTGATCGGAAAAATTGCCGGAAGCGACCGATGAGCACTCAACCGACGATGGCAGCCATCGGAAACTCAGGAACCTCAGACAGCTTCAGGCAAACCTGGAACAACTCCTGAGACAGCAACAAAGCTCCGAAGCAATCTCGTTTTAGAAGAGCTCTAGGAATATCATACCATTTTGCAAACGTTTTCGGTCATAGTTTTAAAAATTTTCAACTCTCTTAAATATTGAAAAAAGAGAAAATAAAGTTTCCCATAAAAAAATGAAAATCATCACATACAATGGCATGATGCATATTTATTTTCAATTCGAGACGAGGACAAAAATCGCGAAAAATTTCTAATCAGATAATTTCAGAATTTCCTCCAATTTTTGGATGAATATGGAACGTAGCTATATTTTTAATTCTCCTTTATTATATTTTTTGTTAAGGACATTTCTCTTCTCGAGCCTTATTAGCATAACAGTCTTTGGATTATTGTGAGAGTTACAACACGTTGTGAGCTATAAATTCTTAAAGGAGTGGAATTCACAATAATTTCTAAATTAATTGATATTTATTTTTTTAGTTCAAAATAAGCCGTTAGATCAAGGACTATCGCATAAACATTTCTCTTTTCGCTTCCAAGCGAAGCATAGCTCTCAATTTCACTTGCCAAGTGGAATTTTGGATTTTCCAGAATTACGAAATATCTTTTTTTCTTTGGTTTTGCTCTTGTTGTTTCCTTTTACCCAAATTTTCTCTTGCTATTTCAATTTCTTATTTTTTCCCGGTTAATTCCGCGGCTCTAAAAAACTGGTCGAAGCTCATCGCCAAAACCTCCTCTTCTTTTCAAAAACTTTGCCTCCATCTTCCTCAGTTCCTTCGTCTCCATCGACCTCGATTTTGCCTCCATTTTCGCTCAATCCAAGCACGGAATTCGGAAGAAGCAGGTGGCGCTCTCGCTGGTCGGAAGCGTGTACGTAGCGTCGTCGCCGGCGGATCGGACATGGATTGAGTGAAGAGGAATCGGATCCACGGGCATCGGAGCAACAGCAGTCGGGCGGCGAGCTTTCCTGCAATGGCGGCGGACGCGAGCTTGGCTGCGCTGTACGAGAAGCTCAAAGTGGAGGATCCGTGGCTTCCTCCGAGGACTTGGGAATCCATCCCGTCGCAGAGCGGGCGCAATCTTCATCCCCGCGCCGGCGACCGCTCCGTCCGCCGGAGCCTCTTCGATGTGAAAACCGTCTCTGTGAGTTCACCTGTCCCGATCTTTCGTCCTTTTCTTTTTCGATTGAAGCGTGTTCTTCAGGACGTGGTTGTTGAGACGCTTTTCAACAGGAGGCGAGTTTGGTGAGGCTGGCGATGAATGCACTGCAAGGGGTGCAATCGGCGGTCGTCAGTATCGAGAAGCTATCCGCTTCCTTTTGTTCTGATCCGGCCGACCGGTCCTTCCACCGGATCACCAGTCTCTGGAACCGGACTTCCAGCACTCATTCTCTGGGGATGATTCTGAAATCGATTGGCCGTTCGGGCTGTCTAGTTTTCCTTCTCGGGAAGTTTGTGGAGTATTTCGCGAATTTGCATCCGGATATCGGGCCAATGAGAGTTAGGCATGAGATCGAAGGAGAATTGGGGGGCCGAGATAAATGCCATATCGACATCGAGAACGACGGGCATCTTCAGGGCAGTCTTGTTAATCAGGCATTTGCAGTAGCCTTAGGAAAGATCTTAGAGGGTTACACGTGCTCTTTGGACACTTTATGTGCCTCAATAAATTTTAGGCGGTCAACCGAGGATGCTCGGTTTCCTGCTGATGCATCTTCTGGAGTTGGATGTCTGACAAATGTGGTGCTGTCGGATATCTCACTATTGGAGGTGCATTCTCATACGGAGGAACTGAGGACTAGGATAGAAGCTCTTGGAAATATATGTAAGCTGCACGTTGTTGCTCTTTGCTTCTCAGAATTGCCTCTTGAAGATCTACTTACTAAAACAACAGCAGAGTTTTGCAAGTTCCCCAGAGGTGGTGATCTGCTTTCTTATTTGCATGAACAGTTGCAGGTATGATTATGCCGATGTGCGACTGATCTTGCATCATCTTCTCATACCACTCATACTGGGGGACTCAAGCAATCTGTTTCAATAAGCAAGGATAAGCTTTTTTAGTGCTGTGAGGGTCCTTACTGAAGCAGAAACCCAGGATAGATAGAAAAATGTAGCCAAGAAGAAAGCATATGTACTTCCTATCATTCCTGCCATTTCCCCTAAATATGCAATTGTTGCACATATTGTTATATTTCTCTCTAGCTCATAGTGACAGAATCTAATGTTCGCTACCTTATCCTTAGTCATGAACCTTCATCCTTGTTTTTTACCTGTATTTGTTGTCCATTCCATTACATCCAGCTTTGAAATTATTAAGCGAATGTATGATCATCTCCTCGGAGGAATGTAGTTACTATTAGCCAATCCCTATTGGCTGTAAGCTCTCTCATCCTTGCTGGGAGTACCTGTTCTATTACCGATGCTTTGTTGATATTCCTAGAGTTACTTTCTTTTGCTGCTTCACTTCGCGTAGGTTTATTGATTACCAGGCAATGCAATCATATGGAATTAGTTATATAGGAGGAATACATGCTCCGGTGCTCTTGTAAATATGGGATTTTTTGAATTTTCGGTCTCTCTTTGATTTGTACTTTTGCTTCTGTGGCTGAGCATATCTAAGAGATTAGTTCTCCTTTGTAGGTTGCTGATCCTGCTCATTATATGTTACTTAAGTTTCTATTTGTACGTTCTTGTGCTCCGTACCTTGGGTTTGTCAGATCTTGGATTTACCAAGCAGAAATTAACGACCCTTACAAGGAGTTTGTTGTGGAATATGTCTCTGATCCTGCATTTCATCCACCATGTAAAGCTGGCAGTACACATGTGGTATGTGTTCAGGTAATCCCTTGGCATCTATAAGGCTTCGAATTCAAACATTAATTTGTATGCCTTTGTGGCCCTGGCTTTTGATAGTGATTTACAGCTGTGCTCTACAGGTGCAAGAAAAAGTTGCTGTTCCTTATTTTTTAAGGAAATCATTGGTTCCACTTGTTCGAGCTGGGCAGCAGCTTCAAGTTGTAATGAAACTATTTGAATTGTGTAACTATGTTTCTCCTGGAAGCTACACCTTTGAGGAATTTTTGCCCAATTGGAAAGATTTTTCGAGCAACCATTCATCCCGTGCATCTGCTCTGACCTTCGACAAAGAAAACATAGAGGATCTTGTGAACGTGAGGAATAATTATTACACTGAGATGCATGAAAAACTTGAGAAATTCTTGACAAAGTTACAAGTCAGATATAAGCAGGTAAAGCCATGTAACTGACTTATGCATGGTCTGTCTGAGCATTTTCGTACAATTGCTATATCATTGTTGTTTCCTAATGATAGGTCAGGTAAGCTACGAGCAAAGTTAACACCCATGTTCATGCTTGTATATTAACTTAACGAAAACAGAAACTATGAGACCTGAACTTTGAACTTTGTGTAGTATATCCTTTTGCTTGTTGCATGGCTTTGTTTCATTTGTCATATCTGTTTCTTTAAAAGTTTAAGATGTTGTAAACTAGCCCAATGTATCTCAAGCACATTGGCTTGGCCTTTTCAGGTTGCTGCATTCAACACTGTATCTTTTGTCTCTTTAAGCAGTTGGGCAAGTTCAAATGCTGCGGTTTCATTGTTGCTGAACAACAGCTCTGGTGCTCCTGCCATACCAGTCGAAGAGGGATCGGCTCTGTAATCTCTCTCTCTCTCTGCATGTGATCTCTCTACGGGTGCTTTATGGCATACGCATGTGTTTTTTTTTTTTTTTTTTTTTTGGTAAGGAGCATACGCATGTGTTTCTGTGCCTTTCTTTGAAAGAGGGAGTGAGGGAAGGCCAGCGTACCTGATAATTTCAGCATTTTCCTTGTTGCCGAACTTCTCACTTATAAACTTGAAATTAATTCTTGAAGAGAAGGCTTTGGCTTATAAACATTGGTGAAGAGAAGCTTTTGGCTTATAAACATTGGTGCAGAGAAGCTTTTTGCTTATAAACATTTGTGGAGTACCATAATAATTCTTGAAGCATGTACGAAGACTTTATTATACAATTTGCTTTGTACCTTCTAGAGCGACAATTGGAGTCCAACGTCACAGCAGCTTTACTTGTCGGCTTGAGCTATAGCTTAGTAAAAATCAAATCTTTATGAAAGCAAATAAGCTTCTTTTGATGTTAAGGTCTCTCAGGCAAGGTGAGATTGTGTTTTAAGGGTGTGTGACAATCTGAATGCTGGCACTCAAAAGTTCTCATGGTTCTGTGGGGCTAAATTGCGGGATAATTTTTCAAGAGCCAGGCTTTGAGATCACATGGCATGTTGAGGACCGTATTCAGCTCTGGAATTTTCGTTTTTCTTCCACTTATATTTATTACAGGGTTATCTCATAACACGTGTAAATATTCTAGGATCTTCAAGAGAGAGGAAGAGAGAAAATACCTAAAAGCAACAATTTTACTCATTAACTTAATGAAAGAGTACATAAGATGACTCTGTACATAGAGCATGAGAGACACCAACGAAGTCCTAATTTCCTCATTTATGACCACCTACTAACTACAGACTAATGACTATAATTATATTTTAAGAACACACTTCTTCTTGTTTGGTGAAAAGTAAATTCTAGAATCCATTCTTCCTCTTTGGGTTCTTTGGCTTCTAGATATTTCTCCTATCTGTTTTCCATTCAAATGTTATATTATCTTTATTGTGGTTGGACTTCTCCTTGCAGAGTTACTCGCCATAACAATTCCGATGACGAAGTATGTGAGTCACCTGATTGCTTATCTTCAGATAGCTCGGAAGAGATGTCTGAGAGTGAGGAGCTGATTGAACAGCCAAATAATGAATCTCATTCCGAACAAAAGTATTTATCTTCTCTAAGATTCCTGTCATGTACTCTAACTGCTAGTTCATTGCGGGAAAACAAAGATCCTAAGGATAGGAAGATTGATTTGGAAAGAGATTTTCAAGAAGCAGATCTGCCATTGGGTGTTGTCTCTTCAATTAGTAAATCATATCGTGTTGAGTTTGGGGACGGTGATCGGTCAAATTTATTTGCAGATCAGATCACAAATTCTCCACCTGAGGGTAGTTTTTCAGTTAGTGGCCTTTTAGAGGATCCTAGTGTCGTTCATCAAGGATATCCAGAGGAATATAGATTAAATGCACCAGGCTGTTTTGTAGGTTTAAGCAAAAGAACGTTGGAATTTGCGGAAGTTATGCCATTTTTCAGAGGAAATGCAGCCACCAGCACTGTTTTGACTGACAGGACCTTATGCACGAAGGAGAATGGCATTGGGACTCGTTCTTCTTCCATACTATGCATGTTGCAGCCTTTAGACATTATCAATCGTCGTAATTTTCTCAGCATGAATCCTGTGCTGCCCAAAATCACCCATACTCCCTTGAAAAATAAGTCTGGAGTGAAGGACAGCATATATGGTGGACAATTTTTGCCTTGCTTTGACTTCACTTCAGTAGAAGACCCTTTTAAAATTTGTCTTGACAAGTTAGACACCATTTCTAAATATCAACGTGGTTCTGAGCCACCATTTTTCGGGAATTCCAGTGCTTCGACAATTGGTATTAAGAAGCATCGCCGTGGTGAAGAAGAGCATGGTCTTGATAGCTTAGTCATTGCTAATAAGAAAGGGTCATGCATATCCTCACCTCTGGGTTCAAAGGGCCAATATCATTATGCAGTTTTAACGAATGTTTCGGGTGGAAGCAGTTGGGAGACTATGCTGGGCAGTTGCAGAAACAACAGCACTACCGGTGTCAGAGACCAAGGAGAACATTTGTCAGCGAATTTCAAAATACCACTTGATATAGTCATTGAAAAATGCATATTGCAGGAAATCTTGCTTCAGTATCCTTTTTTCTATGCTTGCTAGGGGATATTGATTTCTCCTTGTTTTTGAGTTTCCAACTATCCAGAGTTTTCAGTTCATGGTAAAAGTGCTCCGCTATTCACCTTCTTCCTCACCCGTTGAGCATGTCTTAACTTGTACAATTATGTCATGTTTGACGTTCCCTGGAATTTGATATTTTTTGTAAGAAACTTTGAATTTGCCTGGATGCATGATATAAATTGATGATCTGTTTTATAGATAATAGATGCCTGATGCCTGATGCCTTGTGGGAACTCTTTGTGTGGTCAAATTTGTAGCACTGGAAGATGGAACGATAATCAACGTTAATGTTGACGCCATCCTGATTTAGTGATTTTAGATTAATTTTATTAGTAGAATCCATCAAGCGACCAGAAATTAAGTTTGACATGATACTGTGGAAAGTAGTTTGAGTCATTGGTTTGAAGAAATTTGAGGAAATAGTGTGGAATATTTTTGCCACATTTTGATTTATATTTTGTAGTAACATATTACGGTTCTTGTCAATATTAATTGCGGGCACACAGTTTTTTTCCCTGGTACATGGAAGTGAATGCCTGGAAAATTCCATATTTTCTTGATTGTTCTGGTTTGCATGTAGATTCTGCTTTCCTCAATGATTTTAGATACAGGTACGTCAGCAGATTGACAATCAAGTTGCTTGAAGAAGGTTTTGACTTGCATGAACATTTGCTTTCTTTACGGCGCTATCATTTCATGGAAAGAGCAGATTGGGCAGATCTTTTCATCATGTCACTTTGGCAACATGTACTTCATTCTGAGAATCTAAATGATAATATGGTTTTTCTCTACTGCTGAAATTTTGTGATTTTCTCTTATTCAATTTCTTCGTATTATTTTGACTGCAGAAGCAGTTCTCTATAGGCATAGATCGAAGTGTTTCAGATGTTCAAGAGCTTCTTGAGATGTCAATTCAGAGGTCTTCATGTGAAGGAGACAACAATAAGGATAGGTTATTTGTTTATACTAAAGAAAATGACAGATTGCCTCAGTCAACTGCAATCGGTATCTTTTTGTTGTATCTTATAAGCAATTCATTCCTTTTTCATCAACAGTGTTCTTTTCTGTGCTTTCTTCTGGATGCAGTAAAGTACCTTTGTGAAACTTGACTAACCTTGGATTATCAACTATCACAGGAGTCCATTCTTTTGACTTTTTGGGATTAGGATATCGTGTGGATTGGCCAGTCAGCATCATTTTGACTTCAGCTGCACTGAATATATATTCTCAGATATTCAATTTTCTGATAAAAGTGAAGCTTGCTGCATTCTCATTAAGTAATGTATGGTGCTTGTTGAAGGTATCTGTTTTTGGCTCTGGCTCTCTTCTGTGTTTGAATCTTTTTTTCCATGTGTAAAAGCTTGTACTGAGTGCTTATTCTGCTGTATTCATGGAAAAGCAACTGACACTACAATACATGTTCAATAATTCACAAACTGAACTGTTGATTGGTTGAGCTTTTGGCAGAAAAAAACTGTTCTGGGAGGATTATTTTTTTGGCTATGTTGTTCTAGGAGAATTGACCTCCCTCTCATACGTTTGACTGATAATATTGTTGTTTTGGTCTAGATTTTGGCCTTTTGCACTCTTTTTCTTGTGCTTCTAGTTATAAAAGTAGATTTTTGAAATTGCTGGAAGCTCATAAAAGGGCCTTATTGATCAACTCTGTGATATGCAGTATAGCTATATATTTTAGTGATATGCAATTCATTTCTTGTCTGCCCTTTACTTCTCCAAATTTACTTTCTATTGTTTGTTTAATCTCTCAAATTTTCTTCCCTACTCCAAAATAAGCATGCAATGATATTGAAAAAGGAGCTAACTATCTATTGGTTTTAATGGAGGTAACAGAAGCAGTTTGAGTTTTTGTGAAGGTCATTCTTGTTGCTAAAGTTGAGATATGATTGTTAAAGGTTCTAGGAATTAAAGATTTTGTGCAGATCACTTATTTGTTTTTGAAATTTAACAGGGTGCAAAGCATATTAGTCAGAGTGGTAAATGTGAACTGCAAGCTGGGGAAGTTAATCATTTTACTATCTTGATGAATATGAGGTAACCTGCACTGTTTTTAAATGCATCTTTTATTACGATCAGCTTGCCAAATTGTTGTGTTTAGCCAGCTGAGCAAAGCCTTCTGGCATATGTCCTCCACTATATTCATTTTTCTTAAGATACAGAGGAAATGAAACACTTAGGGCTCTTGGAAGTTTCTTAAGAAAACTGATACACTGACTGGCTGTTACTGTTGCTGAGTTTCTTTTATCTTAATCAAAACAAATTAAGCTACTCACCTTCACTTATTTCATATGTTTCTTTCAGATGTCCGTAAAATTTAAGTTGAAAATAGTCTTCTGTTAGTTTGAGAAGCCAATGGAAAAGATACTACACCATTAATTTTATCGTTAATAGGCATAGGCCTGTCTCAGGGTATCAGGAAGTTGATTTGCCTTTTAATGTTGATTTCTACATTCGGATCTCCTACTCGAAGGAGGTTTTAATAGGCATGAAAAATTTCTCTCTTTGTTCTCCCTTTCCCCATCTGATAAGTTCAATAGATTTAAATGACGCCTATTTTCAAGGCTGAGAAAATTAAAATTTAAGTAATACCAGGGGTGACTTTAGTTAGTATGCCCAGTGAGATAGAGGTTACGAGGCCAATTTATTGAGTTTGCTTCCAAGGTCTCTTACCTCTGGGAATGGTCTGATTTGGCATTCTGGTGCAAATTAAGCACCGTAGGTTTCTAACTCTGCATCCTCCTGTCATGTGGTTGATTAATGCTTATAGATAGCTCCACTCACCTTGTAGATGCTGGAAAAATATTTGACCACCGGTTATTTCTTTGTTTTACGTTGTCTGGAAAAAACAAATGCTGTAAAACAGCATTTCCTTCTGAGCGTATACAAGACCTCGTTTTTTATCTTTATTTAATCATATTCAACCATCATCATAATTCATTGAGACTGACAATTGAGGAAACATTTCATTAATGCAGATGATGCATGATGATATAGAAGTCAGTCACAATCTGTCCATGTATTGAGAGTAATTGCAAATTTAGATCTCTCGGTTGTTAATTTTTATTCATGGGTCTATTAGTGGCGTCATTTTCTATTTGGTAGTATCTCTCTCATGTTGTGGAAGTTTTCTGTTTGAAACTCATAAAGGAAGTTTTCTTCTCTCTGTGATACCAGGCACCAGTTGAATCATTTCGTATCCATGTTACAACAATATGTGCAGTCCCAGTTATCTCATGTTTCGTGGTCTGGTTTTCTCCATTCCCTTCAACATAAGGTCCTCGCAAATATTCCAAGAAGTGCATTTCTTGCTACAAATTTTTGAGACATAAGTTTTAGTTCTTCATATCTCTGTCCAGCTGGTGGATGAGAATATTATGCTGAAGTTTGCTTTGTGCGGCTCAACTGATACTTAAGATGTTATTCTTTGGCATGTTTCTTTCCAATCTTTTTCTAGATAATTCCCATACATGTTTAATTGATGGCTGAGTGGTGGAATTTAATTCGTCCTTTGTAATAGTAATCAGGTAACGAAATCTGAGAGTACTGGGGAACCTCTTGATATGAGGCATGGAAAGTGGTCTTGTATGTTGCAACTGTGTCTTTCTCCTCTTTGAGTGAGAAAGATTAGCAGTGATGTTATGTAGGCTGGACCTGCAGCTGCTCTCTTACTTCATTGTGCCCGTGTTTGCTTTTAAATTGCTCGCTGTGCATGTTAGGCCGTCAACTTTAATCTTTCACTTAGCTTGTGCGAGAGATTTGCAAAGGCACCTATCCTTTTAGTGAATGTGTCATCTTTTTTCCTTATGCCATCAATCCTCTTGATTTTTTATGACCTGCAGAAACGGAATTGTCCATGGAAGAGTTGCTGGGCATCCATATTTGTCATGTAGATTACCCATGTCAACATCAATGAACATGCATATTTGCTTTATCTGCCTCTTTCTCTCAGATTACTTCCTATCTATATTCTTTTCGTTAGCTTGAAATTTCCCATGGTCGATGTAGGTCAAAGATATGATGGATCTTGAGTCAGTGCATTTGGAATATCTTGCCGAATCACTTGACATGTGAGTTTGCATTTCACTTTGGTTCAAAGTTATTAGACTTTTGCTTCTGAAAGATTGTCATAATTGGTCATTGTTGACCTCATTCCTTGTATGCTGGTTGAGCCTCGCAAGGTTTAGGAAAGGAATGAAATACAAATACTTTCACTCATTTCATTTTGCTTAGGTTACAAGCAGTAACCAGACTGCCCTACATTTGCAGCAATATCACTAGGTCCAATGTGATCTTTAGTTGTTTCATCCACCTGGTATACAATTTGGCCACTGATGTTAAATTGAATGAAAAGGAAATCTCTGAGTTGACTTAGTAGTCGATGCGCAGCTATCATGGCAGTTGAAATGGCGAGATTGATTCTTGCTCTACTGATTTACAACAGCACTCTTCCTTTTTGATCTCCTTTTTTTTTAACCTGTCCAACTGCAAATATCTACCGTGGTAGCCATAGGAAGATTTGACTACATTTAAATTATAATGATGAATGTGATCTTTCTGCAGCTGTTTTCTGTCTGAAGAGACGCGGGATATTGGTGGCATAATACGAAATATTTTACAGTGTGCCATGGACTTTCGTGGCACCTTATATGGGGGTGCATGGAGTACAGGAGGACAAGTAGACCTATCAGTTAAACAACCTATCATTAATTTTTCCCAGGTAATGCTCACTGTTAGATGAAAGGAATTAATCTCCCATTTTCCCCTCTATAAGATCCTGCGTGTGTACCAAGCAAGAAAAGGATCCTGCATCTGTGCTCTTGAATGCGATACATCTCTATGAATATAAGTATCCTTGTCTGTGATGATGAATTTTAGATAATGATCTTGTTTGTTGATTTTCTTTTCACCTTTTCCTGGGTGTTTGCTTTTACAGGTGGGTGCTACAAAAGAAACTTTTGAGAAAAACCTGAAGGAATTGCACCTTATATATCTTAGGTCAGCCAAACACGGGAAATTCGGGCTCTCTAAGTTATGGAGCTATCTTAATTACAATGACTATTTCACGAACTCCAGTACTCAACATGCTGTCTTATGGTAATCTCTGTGCCGAGCCAATCCCTTCGACTGGCAAATGCGAATCCTAAGATGCCTACATTGATATCACAGAAAAAATTGTGTTCGCCCGAATGCCTTGCGTAAAGCATGTACTGTTAATATATTCCGCTATTGCGAAGCATTTAATCTTCATGATATAATTGAAGATTGATGATGTATTCTTCACAAATTAGATGGACTCTTCATCATCAATGCCGGTGCTCGCATGCAGTGGCGGAGCGGCGGCATGCATGTTGGCTTCTATGTACATGCTGTCTATATGACCTGCAATCACTTATAAAGACAGAATCATTCACGGCATCACCAAAATAGCTTTCTTTAACCATCAATTGATCGCACTTCGAGCGAGATACAAATTCTAACTGTGGGAAAGGGTAGTCTCCTTTCTACTTCTCCCAATATATTACCTAACTAGAATTTCTGTAATTATTTTTCAATGAGAAGTAAAAGGTCTTAATGCTGGTTAACGACTTTCTTTATTCAGAACGTCAGTTCTCTTCATATAGGTAATTGGTATTTTTTCATGTGTTTAGTAGCACTTTAATGTTAAAACTAATTTTAAACCAATGAAAATCAATAAACTTGAAACCCTATTGGTAATTTACATCCATTAGTAATATCTTCATGGGCCTAGGCAAGTTGGTGACGCCGAAAAGGAAATAATAGTCATTGATGAAGAGTTCCCCCTTGGAGACAAGACCAGACTTCATTTCCTTTCTAATGCACGGCCTGTTTGGTTCAGCTTTTAGGAAATGCATTTGGCAAAATGCAAAGACCTTTAAGCTAAAAGGATTTTTCGAAATGCAAGTAGTGTTTGATAATGTGTATTTTAAAATCACATTTGAAAGCAACTTTGGCTTAAATATCGTTTGGTAAAAATTATTTGTAACAGACTTTTGCTGATTTAAAAAAAAAAAAAAAGCTGGCCACTGACCACCACCACTGGCCACCACCGCCGGCCAGCCTCGCCTAAGGTCAGGCGAGGCTGGCCTGAGGTCGTGCAACCTCAGGCGGCAGTCACCTGGGGGTTGCGCGACCCCGGCGACGCCTGAGGTCCGGCGACCCCAGGCGGTGTCGCTGGGGTCACGCGACCTTAGCAACCACTGCCTGGGGTCGCACGACCCCAGGTGGCGGTTGCCGACCGCCGGACTAGCTGCTCGGGAAGAGGATGAACAGTGACGATGAACAGTACCCGATTGCATTCCAAAAATGCAACTTGTCAAGGCTCCTCATGAGCTCCATTCAGCCAAAAGGCCTTGCAAAATTTTGGAGATGCAATTGTATATTCTCAAAGCTTGCTAAAAAATTTGCCAAACAACTTTGCATTTGCTCAAGAGACTTTAGACCTCCAAAGCAGCTTTCAAATGCTGAATCAAACAGGCCCGTAGTCTTCCTATCATGCTGCAATCGAGTAATTACTAGGGCAAGAGGTCCGTGGGAGCGGTCTAAAGACTCTAGACGACTTTTGCCTTGACTCAAATCCATAATAACTCTGACCAAAAAAAAATAAAAATCGATGATGACGTTTACTGAGATGAAGTCCGATGTTGACCTCACTTTCTCACATTAATATAGGCGCCGGCAAGATTAATATACAAGGAAGTAATTTCACGTACAGAACAAATTGTCAAGACTTCATGATTTCCAAGGGTTGGAACTAAAGCAATGATTTTGCCTCCTGAATCAATGCCATGGCATTTCGAAGCTCCAATTGCATCTTCCCTGATAAGCAGGAAGGACCGCCAATCTCCCCTAAAAGCTGCGTATTTCGCTGTGAAGTTATGGCTCTAGTTTCTTTGAGTTGTCCTAGTCTTCTGAGACTCTCGTGCATTTCCTCTTGCTGAATCTCTGCTTCTTTTGCCCTCATATCTGCTTCACATACATGTTGGTGGTAGGATAGAATCAGACTCTGAGTTTCATGCTGTGCATTCTCTATAATCTCTAATAAGCTCTCTCTCTCTTTGATGACACAATGAAGTGCAATTTCCATCTCCTCCACCGTCCTAGAAGCTTTGGTTATCTCCATTCGCACAGCTCGGATCTCGTCATCTACCTTCCCACGCTTCCCGCTCAATTCCACGTATTCCTTCTTTATGACCCCAAGTCTTTCTCGGCAGCAGTTGATCTCAGTTTGTAGCTTGGTTTTTTGTTCCTCAGATTGGAGTAAATCTGTGGCTTTACTACCCCAGTTCCTCTTTGCGGCATCAGCTTTCTCGACATTATCTATGGCAAGAAGAACCTTTTCGTTTTCTTGCTTTCGCTTCTCTTCTTCCAGTTTTGATTTTAAGCACGCCAGCTTGTTCCTTAGTTCTTCGTCAGAATGTTGATTCCTCCTCAGCAGTACCTCAAGCTCCTTCTTGCGGGCTTGAAGATGGGCCATTTCATTATTCTTTTGGTCTAGGTGTGACGCTGAAGCATTAACCCTTGCCTTGGCGCGAGCTTCTCGTTGTTCGAAATACATTATGGATGAAGAGAAACTTGATAGGGAATACTTATGAGCAGAGAACTTCTTATCAGTGAGCGATACTCTTTCTTGTGCTTCTGATAAAAGTCGTTTGCATGATTCAAGATTCTGCTGATCGACTTGGACACTGGCTTCCATTTCCTCAACTTGTCTCGAGAGTTGACCGGCCTCAATGATTGATTTCTCAACCAAGTTAAGTGTATCGGCAGTTCTAGAAGAAAAACTGAGCTTTTCCTCTGCACTTGCAAGATTCAATCTGACCAGATTCATTGCTTGTGGTTGTGGGATAGGAACAGCAGAGACAGTTGATAGATCAATTTCCATGCAGCAATGTGAATCTGCCTGATAGTCCTCAGAGCATTGTTTGGACCCAAGCTCAGCATTTGACACGGAGAAACCAGAGTTTTCATTTAGTATATCTGATCCGTCAAACACGAAAGGCTTCATTAACTGAGTGGCTTCTTCCATGGAGATACTGATATTAGCATTAATTAAAGGTTCATCTGCCCCAGGTCCACCAATAACTTTTGTATCACCTGTTTCCTTAGAGCATTGTTTAGATCCAAGCTCAGCATTTAAAACGGAGAAACCAGAATTTTCATTTAGTATATCTGATCCGTCAAACAAGAAAGGCTTCATTAACTGAGTAGCTTCTTCCATGGAGATACTGATATTAGCATTACTAGGAGGTTCATCTGCCCCAGGTCCACCATTTACTTTTTGATCACCTGTTTCCTCCCTGAAAACTTCTGATTTATCATTGTTGGTGCAATAAATTGCCTCTGAATTTCTCCTGGCTTCCGGGGCAAACACTCCAGCAACATGGGTTTCCTCAGTAGACATGGTTGCCTGACTTGATTCGTGGTTATCACCTGCATCAACTTCAACAAGCTTTTCCGGACAATCAAATTCGCCTTCAGTTCCAGATTTGACCTGCTCATTTGCATAAAGCATCCTTTTGAAGTCATCCCTCTCCTTCATTGCTTTCTCATACAAACCCATTAATTCTTCATTTTCTTCATGCATTTCCACAAGCTGATGCTCCAGATTCTCAACAGCCTTTTTCATCTCAATAAGTTTCCCTTCTTCTGGCCCAGTGATGGCATCGCTTCTGCAAACTCCGGTTCTCTCTTCAAGAGTACTATCAAGAGAACACAAATGTGATTCACTCCTTTCTGCAGTTGCCTTCTCATACAATTCGATGAGCTTGTTGTTATCCTCAATCAATACCTTCAGCTTCATCCGAAGCTCATCATTCTCTTTAGACAGGATCATTGCACTCCCATGAGCTTTTGCCTCCCTTTGACTTGCAGCAGCAATAGCATCCACCATAGTTTTCAGCTCTATCTGATCATCAAAATTGACAATGTTGACACCAGTTGAGGAAGATGGAAGCTCAAGTGGCTGGCCAATAGCTCTTGAAGATCTATTCTCTTCAAGCTCTCTTAACAGATCATGTACATGTCTGGAACAATCAATGGAAGATGTGAGGAAGGGTAGTGACACAAGCATGCAATTTGCTAAAATAAAAGTTAAAAACCTCATAAGAGTGTGTGCGCGTTTAGTACCTCTCCAACTTTTCTTTTTCCTCAAGGCAGAAATTTAGTTTCTTATGGAGTGCTTCCAATTCTGCCTGGTTTTGGATCGCCTGAAATAAAACATAGTTTCCGCAAACATTATTTTATCATTTCTAGTCATGCAGTTTTTTATGACATGAAGAACCTTGAAACTAGAAGTGGCTACCTGCAAACGGAGGAACTCATTTTCATCATTAACAGATGCAAGCCATGGGGATCCTCCTTCCTGTACAATAAGAATAAGTTTGAGAAAAGAATACTTAAATGTCAGGCAGCCGCTGCAATTTAATATTAAATGAAATTGCAACGAAAATTTATGGAGAGAATCTGACACTTGAAGCGGAGAAAAGAAAGTAAGCAGCAGAAAGCACTAACACTGAATTCAAAAACCTAACCTTAGTAGAAAGAGGTAGGGTTTCATCACCAAGTGTGTCTGCTGCAGCATCTGAATCAGGCTTCTGTCTCCAAGTATTTTATAGTTAGATCAACAGGACAACCTTCCCCATATTGCAATTTGTTTAAAATTTAAGAGGAGATGTTTTAAAATAACCTGGATGGCTGAGGCATCTGATTCATGCATTAGTTTCCAGTCAAGTGCTTCTAGCAACTGCAGTTGGTGTAAACTGTAAGTGTATAAACCCACGGATAACTAAAAAAAAAATGTTACAAGCATATGCCCACCTTAGTTTGTAACACCCTGATTTGTTCATTCATCATCTCTCGTTCTCCTTCCTCACAAAATGACTTCACCCTGTCCGTTGGAGTACATGAAAGCCATGATAAGACAAAATGCAATAACAAATAACTATGTTAGCTACACAAACCTTCTCAAATAATTCTTTTGCAAAAAGCAAGTTTGTCTTGTCATTTTAGAATAGGCAATGGAAATCGAGAAGAAAGGCTAATAAGGTTTGGGATAGGTATATCACACTGGACCCGAATTAATCATACCTTCTGATTTCTTCCTTCAACTGTAGATTTTCCATGGCAAATCTGGTCACTTCTAGGTTCCTGTCAACCTGAGTCCTTAAAACTTCAATTTCCTTCAGGTGTTCTTCCTTTACTTTCAGCAAATGGGTCTCAGCTGAGATTTTTCCCCCAGCAACAGCCTCTAACCTCTTAAGCCCT